GTCTTAGGTCTTAAGTGGGACCATACGAAAGACACATTGGTTGTTAGCAGAGGCGTGGATCGTCCTCTCGATAAAGCAATAACTCTCGGAAAATCAGTGGTCAAAGTTGGGACGACGAATTGCCAGAAGACATAAGAGATAAGTTTCTCGAGTGGCACTCCGGTCTCCCTCTCTTAGGGCAATTGACTATTCCCCGTTGTTACTTCACAGAGCTTGTTGATCAAATTGAGCTCCACATGTTCGGTGATAGCTCGCAGGACGTTTTCTGTGCTGTTGGATTTTTGCGTGCGCGACTCGCGAGCTCGCATAAAACTCAAATATCCTTCATCTTTGGTAAAGCTCGCGTTGCGCCCATGAAAGCGCTATCTATACCGAAGCTAGAGCTTCAAGCTGCTCTGCTCGCCACACGACTAAAAGATGATATACTGACCGCCCTTACCGTCTCTATTAATCATGTCTTTATGTGGACAGATAGTACAACAGTTTTGCAGTGGCTAAACTCCACTGAAAAATTACCTGTATTCGTCGCTAATCGTGTCGGCGAAATCCTCGAGTCGACCACTATTGATGAGTGGCACCATGTTCTGAGCGGCGATAATCCAGCTGATACCGGTACGCGGGGGATTTCTTCGGAAGCCCTCAAGGATAGCAGCTGGGTTATTGGTCCGAGCATTCTCAGGACTACTGATTGGCCGTTTATACCCGACGAACGTGTAATCAATAAAATTCGTTTGAAGGGTCCTTCTTGTGATGTTGATAATTGCTTGGAGACATCATCTTCCTTCGTCACCGATGTCACATCAATCAAACATCCCGAACACGAGTTCAATTGGGAAAGGTTCAGTTCCTTTACAAGATATAAACGAGTAGTCGCTTTTATATTGAGGGTGTTGCCTTCACATAAGCATTTCCGTGGTAAAGACTTACGAATCACCGACCCTACTGAACTTGATATTGCAGAAAGCAAACTGATTCATCTTGCTCAGATGGAATCCTTTCCCGTTGAGTTAAAAACACTCACCGCTGGCAAACCTATTAAGAATAGTAGTAAAATTGCCACATACTCGCCATTTATCGGTCCCGCTGGAATCATTCGTTCCACCGGACGTATTGTGCGCTTAGTGGATACCGAGTTTGATACTAAGCACCCAATAATACTCGACGCCCGACATACCTTAGTTCGTTTGTTGGCCCGCAGCCTCCACCATAAGCATTTTCATCAAGGATTAGATTACATGCGCTCCGTTTTAAATATGAAATATGCAATACTTGGGTTGCGTCGACTACTTCGGTCTATCGAAAATCGATGTGTGACATGCCGTAAACGCAAAGCAAGCACCATCCAGCCAATTATGTCCGATTTACCGGTCGAACGTCTCGGATACAAGCAACCACCCTTCAATCATACGGGTGTGGATTACTTTGGACCGCTTTACGTTCGGGTTCGCAGAAGCACGGAAAAAAGATGGGGATTTCTTTTTACTTGCCTCACCACCAGGGCTGTACACCTTGAGATTGTACCGTCTCTGGACACCAGTTCGTGTGTCATGGGCATTGAACGGTTCGTTGCGCGCCGTGGTACGCCAAGCACAATCTGGTCGGATAATGGCACGAACTTCGTTGGTGCGGAAAAGGAATTACTTGCCTGCATCAAGAGCTGGAATGGCATGGCTCCGACCATTTTTGCACACAAAGGCGTTACTTGGAAATTTAACCCGCCAGGCGCACCCCATCATGGCGGCTCCTGGGAACGCCTCGTCCGAAGCGTGAAGCGCGTGCTGTACGATATCCTAGGCAGTAGGCGAGTCACTGAAGAGGTGTTAGGAACAACACTCTGCTTAGTTGAACAGGCTTTGAATTCGAGGCCAATCACTTCCGTTAGTACCGATTCACGTGAGTTAGAAGCGTTAACCCCAAACCATTTTTTGCTTGGACAACATGCCACAAGCTTTCCTTCGCTTTTACCCGGGGAGCACTTCGATCACAAGAAAAGGTACGTGCGAGCGCAGTCATATGCTAACGCGATTTGGTCTCGTTGGCTTCGAGAATATGTTCCCTCGCTGAATAAGCGTGTCAAGTGGCACACTCATTCTGACTTCACTCTTAAAACAGGCGATCTCGTGTGGGTGATTGAGCCCGATAGTCCGCGTGGGTACTACCCTCTCGCCCGAATCGTCAAGCTAAACTACGGACAGGACGGTTGCGCCCGATCCGCCCTTGTCAGGACCGCAACCCGTGAAGTCACGCGGCCGACCGTTAAGCTCGCTCCGGTTCTTCCTTCTTCAGGGGGGGAGGATGTTGCAATGCAAATGTAGAGTATAGAATGTAGAGTATAGATGCATATAAAACAATAGTATAAATGCATAAAACTGAACCAAAATGTAACAACAAGCACAGTTGGCCGAGTGGCCTAAGCTAACGCCGATTATATAGGTTAACAGTTGACGTAGGTTCGAGTCCCCCACCTGCCCATGTATTAATATACTAAAAACGGGGGTTACATCCTATTTTAACTGTTTTTTGGTTCTAATTCGGTTCAGCCTTGATTAAGGTTGACCGCCAAAAAGAGCAATTTGTCTCAAGGACATTACCGACCGGTCCTTGTGGCTAGCTTGCGCCGATTTGTACCAAAAACGCTCAGATGCAAAAAATGTTGTATGATGTCCTGATCAATAGAAAAATACCGAAATTTATCTATTGCTTGAGTTATTTACCGATAAATATCTCTCATTAATTTACGAATTTGGATTCAATTATTTTCGTTTGGAGATTAGCGAGCATACTAAATTTATTTGCAATCTTTGTCTCAAATTGGAAAAGAGTATTCAGTGTAATTCACTTTTTCAGGATAATACAAAACAGCGCTGGATTGCAGAGATGCATTGCTAATCACTGCAACTAGATGCAGGAGATGCAAAGCTTTCACGAGGAAAATAACTCACAAATCTATAAAAGCAGATATGGCGCACACTCTTTTCAAATTTCTTGAAAAAAATTCGATCACACAGTTTATTCAAATTACGCTTAAAAATGAGATACTTATTTCGAAATCAAACTAGTTATATTCGATGTGAAGGAAAGTTAAAAAAAACTATTTTTCGGGTATTTTATTCGTTTACTCGGATGAATTGAGCTATCTCCTCCCATTTCCGTTTTGACCAATTGAGCTATTTCCCCCAAGCAAAAACGATAAAACGCTAGTAAAGACGCTATCAAACACAAGCAGATGGCTCGTGGTGTGTTCATAGCACACAAACAATTGACCGACTGAAGTTTATTTTACGAGTGTCGAAAAAACTTTTTGAAAAAGAATCACTTAAAAAATGAATTCTTTTTCATTTTTTAAGCGAATTCTTGTTTGTGCGACCACTGCTTCGAGGAGAGCCAGTTACCAGGGTTAGTGCTCTAACTTTGCATATAAAAACCAAAAACTGTTCTCGTGCCTTAATAACGTACGCAATATTATTCTTTTTTCATTTAAGAAGTCGGCTTTATGTGCATCAATTTTGGTCATTTTTTCAATCTGAAAGTAATTTTTGAGTTTTGTCAGAGTAAATTTTGGTATTTCGCATTCTTTGGAGAATCTGGCTCATGTGGTTATAAACATGTATCAAGTGCCGATTGAGCTATCTCCTCTTCCCCTCCCCCTCCTCAGAGAATGGGGGAGAGAATGATTGTTCAATTGATTTTATATTCATTTGGCAGATTGTAACTGGACGGGATTGAGAGAGCGCTCTTCTAAAAAAGTAAAAAACTTCTCGCATATCAGGGCAACGCCCTGAATGTTCCGACCCTTAATCCACGTCGAATAGTTTTTCGGTAAAGAAAATATTGAAAAACTATAAATTTTGGACAATATCAAAAAATCAAGTAGAAAAATTGGGTCATACTGAATTAATACGACTGATTAGCTAGCCTCAATTCAATTTGGAACAATTTTGTGCGGGATAATTCACAACGCATAAATAATTCGGCGCGGTACGCTTTCAGCATTATGAATAAAATCTTAGAAGCGCGCATAAATAGCCTAGAGCATGGCCAAATTTTGGACCAAGTTAACATCCCTCCCCCAAAAAAAGCCGTTAGAAACTTTCAGCAAATCAGAATCGAGCAATTTACATGCAGCGCTTAGCAAATTTAATATTTAATGCAAACTAAATGCTTGGGTGGAAGCTCTTAACTTCGTTTATCTGGGGGAATCCATCATGCATTCATTTAAAAATAACATTCAAACTAAACGATTGTTTCGCTAAACCGTACGAGCTGCTCTGCTTTTTAGGTGGAATCGTCTGCCCCTGATTAAGAGCAGAAGGGTTTTCTGGATCAGGAAATTTTATTAATATGCTTCTAAGGTAGTTCCTTTACCAAAACCAACCAAAGATCTTAAATCGTTACAGCGAGAAATTCCTAGCAAAAAAGTTTAATCCAACCCACCTTAAGACACGGCTTTTACATCACTGATGGATTCAATGAGCAGCGACCGCCTGTGAGGACTGTATTTGGGGTCAGTCCAAAGAGACGTGACAATTACATATAAATAGTTGGTAAGACCAATTCTGGACTACGCCCGACGCGCTAAATCCTACTCGGCGAGTGATGCCGCCGTAAATAAATTCCGAACAGTGTAGAATGCATATAGTGATCGGTGAACTAAAATGAGTCCCATTGAACGCCTAATTCAAACCTAATCAAACCAAAAAAATACGCCCCAATGATATCGAGGTTTACAAAGAAGAACCTGTGTAGCTTTTGGAGTAGAGAAAGAGTCAGAATATTTCAGCGAGTCCGACCATTTAAGTAAACCTCTAACCATAAACCATAGAGTGAAGAAAAATGCACTTACCTCTAAATACTTCTGAGAGCATAATTTTGCCAATTTCACACTTTATTTCATGGAAGCTGATCTAAAATTCTGCTTTCTCTAAACTACTTACCCTTCTGACACAAGAAACCGCATTCATCTAAATTAATCTAAACTACTATGTAACCTAAATGCCAAATTTTTTTTTGATATGCTATCAATTTCTTCTCTATCTGAGTAAACAAGTGATGATAAAATAGGTCCACCGTATAGATAAAAAAAAGAATTCAGCAAGCAATTGTGTGAACAATTTACACACTTCAAGAAAACTTTGATAGAGCATAAAGTAGCACCAATAGAAATGAGTAAACACTGTTAAACAAGTTAAACTTTTTAAACTACCGGTATCATAGCAAAAATAAATTTCAAATTTGAAAAAATTATAATTAAACAATCCATTTACAGAAAAGTACTTCTTTAAATGTAGATTCGATCCCACATTAATGAGTTTATACGATCATGAAAACCAGCAAAACTTAGCTTCAAATCTTAATTTTAAAATTGTTCCAAGTCTAACATTTGCATTTTTTACAGGTTGATAACATCAATATCTGTCCGAAGGAACAGGCAATTAGTAAAATGTGATGAAAAATCGAAAAAACTATGAAATTTAAAACGTCTCGCAAACAACAAGCTTACTCTATGTTAAAAACTTCCATCCATTTGCGGTATAAAAAGGAGCCACCCAGCAACTTCAAGAGAAGCACAAAAATGCATGCTAATCAATACGCAGGCTATTTCCAAAAACTTTAAAACCCATTGAAACTTTTAGGGACCGAGCTATGTTTTGTGACCTAAGTAAATATCATAGCTTTATTCGAGCTTTGGTTTACAACGAGTAGACTTACTTCGACGTTAATCAATTGTTAAAACTCATTTTTACACCTTAGAAGATATTAGATCAGTTACGCACACAATAGACACTGTTCACATTCTGTTGAATAGCCCGCTAGTCTCGCCATTCAATTGTAATCTCCAGTCAAATTGTTGTCCTTTAATAAACATGCTCCATTGCTTGATCTGTTCTCACTATTAGAAGCACCTTCCATTCAGCAAAATCTAATCTTGTCGGCGCTGAAATGTTTCGTAATCTTTTCTCTTCATTTTTTGGATTTTGCTTGATATCATATGAGTTCAAATGATATTATTTTGTTTGTGTTGTTGTTTTTCTGCTGTCACTGCAGAAGTGGAAGACGAAGGCGTTAATGAACGTGACGAAGATGAGACTACTGTAGTCGAGTTGTCAGACGATGACGTCATCATTCGCTTCACTTCGTGCTCCATCACCTGAACCCAAAAAGCACTCATTCAACCTTTAGCACACTGACAATCAATCAATAACTCATTGTCACGCGTGTAGTTTGGTAAATTCGATATGGTTCTAGCAAAATTAATGAAAAGGTAATGCACTCAAGATTGTTTAATTACCTAGAAAAATTCGGAGTCCTCTATGGACGACAATTCGGTTTCCGAAAAAAATCCGCTACGATTGATGCTCTAGCTGAACTAACAGAAAAAATCAGACTAGAAATAGATAAAAAATATCAAATACAGATCTGAAAAAAGCTTTTAATACACTTGACCACAAAATTCTGCTAAAGAAATTAGATAGTATTGGGGTAAGAGATATATGCAGATTGGTTTGAAAGTTATCTATCTGAACGATATCAATGTGTTTTCGTGAATAATTGTCAATTTGATAGATTGCCTGTTAAAACGGGAGTCCCACAGGGATCAGTCATTGCCCCCCTTTTTTTTAAAATTATATATTAACAATATGCCTAAACTCGCGTCACATTCGAATATTTCCCTTTTCGCGAATTACACCAACGTTACTAGTGACAGCTCAGTTTTTCAAGATTTCTAGAATGATTTATCAAATCTGGCCGTTTGGCTTCAATGCAATAAACTAACCTTAAACTCTGATAAAAACAACTCTGACAAGTTTGAAAGAAATCGAAGTGCTTCCAATTTCCTTGTTGAACTTCAAAATGATACATTTCACCCTAAACTTTTGTGCATATGTCTCGGTGTTATTGGAGACTTAACACTTACCTTTATAATTTTAAAAGAAAAAATCAAATCAAAACTAAGTCGACATTGCGGTGATATATCGAAAATGAGAGACTGTGTACCCAACATTCTGATGTTTTTCTTAAATCTTCAATTTTACAGAAATGTTTTTTCATATTACACACGGAAGTCAGGAGTGTCCACTTATATGCATCCTTTTTGAAAGAAAAAAAGAAAAGCATGCTCATTAACAAATAGAAGTGCCAGGCTGTTGAATATTTTGGGTCATAATAGTCTATTACCAGAAAACCTCGAAAACATGTAGGGAAAAGATCAATGCAAACTATCCAATAATTTCAGAAACAACTACATTCTTGATAATGTTGAAATATTAAAACAAATTTTTCAACAAACTTTTGTCAATATTATTTCAATAATCATAAAAGATGCCTACGCAATGCTTTTTATTTCACGAGATAGGGCGTTTTTCTTCTCATTTTTCAAAGAAATTAAAAATTAATGACATTAGTATTACTATTAATTACACTTGTTTTCTTACAATCGTATACCGGAAAAGGGCAATTAACGCGAAAAAAAAACACTGACTTTGTTGAAAAACTGAACTTTCGAATTTCAAAGACAGAAAGAGATGCATTTTAACCTCTTTGATTTTCAAGAAAAGTTTCTGATTGGCGTTTTTTTTTATAACATTAACCCAACTTGAGAAAACTGGATCAATAAGTAGAAATTTTGTTCCACAGGAAATCTAAAAATAAAATTCCTATTTCAAAACTAGAATAAGTTCACGTTTTTTTTGCGCCGATTCCACGTTCGTATTTGGAGATTTCTTTTCACCTAACTTTCAGCAGAAGAATTTCAATTGAACTCAAAAAGTGCATATATACCTAAGTGTATTCATAAATTAATTAATAGGTAAGAAAGCACAACTTCTTGAATGCACATCTACATTTTTCTGGAAAAAAAAACAAAAAAAAACATCACCAAGACCTATATAAGAGTCTTCACTGCGTTCATTACTCTTAAAAACATCAAATTAAAACCATTCATCTACGAGGGAAGAACCAACATTCGAAGTGCCCTTGCATAAAAGCTACTGTTATTTTTTTGTTATTCTAATGGGCTGAAAATTGTTTTGTCGCCGGCAACGAATGAGCAAGGATCGTCGTGGGCCTCGAACCAGCAACATTTCAACTGAGAGGCAAAGGCCAAACCAACTTCACCATAGTAACATCGTATAAAAAGTTTACTTTTATGCACCTGCGATATAAGGCTGTTGAATAGATCTGGTTCATCTGCGTAAACGTGGTGAGAGGAAGCAGGTAAAACAGACAACTGGCATTCAACTCCTGCAACACAAGAAGATCTAAAGTTGTCCTGAAAAAACCGAACAATGATTCACCTTTGAGTGAAAAAAATAGTGGTTACAAAAAGGATTATTGTGATCATCGTCATTACCATGGACGGGGGCGGATCTAGGATTTTCTTGAGAGGGGGGGGGGGGGCGGCGGATTTTCAAAAAATTTTGACGACCTTTTTTTTAGGTCGACCAAATTGATTTTTCGAGCTCTCCCAAAACACTTTTTTGCCCCTATTTTGGTGAAATTTTCTGCGCCGCAGGCAAATTTTTGAAAAACAGTCAAAAAAGCCGTTTTTGGGCACTTTTTGAAAAATTTTGATAAAAAAAATAGCGTTTTTTTTGGCGCGAGCTCTCCCTCAAAGTTAGTATATATTGGCACCGAAGGCGCCCTTAGAAAAATTTTAGGGTCGGTCGGCCAAAAATGGATTTCTGAAAAAGTATCATAGAGGGGACCCTTTGGATCAGCAGGGGGTCGAATCCCTGAGGGGGGAGCGTCCCCCCCCCCCTAAATCCGCCCATGACCATGGAACAAAATAGTCAAAGTTACAATGTCCAGTCCCGTTGAAAAAATATATGCAATTCAAATTCATTCAAATGATTGACTGAAGGCAGGGATTTACATTCCAGCTAAATTGTCTGCTGGCGTCTAATTTACTAAATTTGAGGTATATTATCATTGGTACACCTTTCAGATGCAATTGTTTCTGAAGTCGGTAGGCGACATCCTTGTATCTCCACATCCATGACTCACTGCCCAGTAGCATTGTTATTCTGGAGTCCTCCGGCACCTGATCCACCCTCTGGATCATGCCCTCTCTAGGCCACGGAAGTGGACTGCAGATATTGTGGAAGGCAGCTTCTCCCGAAGGCCTCTGCACATTACAGTGGTAGATATAGTCCGCTACACAACAAGCATGAAGTGATTTAATTCCAGTGAGTAGGAATGGAAAAATGATCTTACAAGTTCGGAATAAAACAGTGCCAGTCTGTTTTTGTCTGGTACAGTTAAAAATACTAAGATCCTGGCATTTATATCAACTTAAATATATTTCCAAACTATTCAACAATTGTAATAGAAACCTATTGTGCTGTCGGTGGTATGGTCGTACACAGAGTTAAATTTGCTCAGGATGTCTGTCCTCAGTTTGGGAATGAGGGATGGGGCAAGGCGGCCACTCACTCTTAAAATGGCCAATGGGTTGAATTTAGTGACCAAGTACACTAGCGGGGACAGCGCCCAGTGAACCTTGAAACGTGATGCCGCTTCCTCCGTCTTTAGCGTTAATCCTATTGAACAATTGATCTTTGAATGCTCCAACCAAGAACTCAATAACGGTGCACCACTAAGACCAAAAACGGTACACTATGAATGGCCTCAATTTAACCAATTCCGCTGAATGTGAACTTCAATGTTCAGCTATCAAAACCAAAGCCACCTCAAATTCCAGATGAAAAACATTGTGTGTAGTTTAACCGGTAGAATTGCCCTAGATTAAGATAGAGAGGTCCCATATAATTTGGAAATTCGGTGCCAATGCAGAGCAATCGTATCCTTTTGGTAGATAAGAAGACGAGTGTATGTGTACAAGGAACAAGGTTCCGACACAAATTGTTCCGACCACACTGATTGAAGTAAAAAAAAATTCAAAAATAGAAAGTTTTTTTTTGAGCTGCAAATTTCTGTTTTAATTTCATTTTTTTTCGTAGAAAAAACAATTGAATTATGCAAAAATGCAGGACAAAGTGATTAAAATAGCTCAAATATTGCTAACATTTTTTAGAACAATTTTTTCAGGCCAGCCTCAGATCAAATTGTCTAAGTTAGTCTGAAAACTGAAAAAAAACTCTTCAGACCAATTGTTTCTCGACATTGAGAGAATTTTTCGATTTTTTCGGAATACAAATCACGACCAATAGGGCTTTAATAAGACACCAAACTTAGGTGACAAGGATCTATGTAACAGTTACCCCCTGAAGAGAGGGTAAGTGTTAGCAGGTTAAGTTTCGATCAATCAGAATGCAGCAAAATTCGAATTATAAACTCTTAGTTTTATTTATAATTCGAATTTTGCTGCAAAGTGCGAATCTATAGCTTTTATTTATAGGGGGTGGCAATTCTTTAGTAGAAACCACGAGGGAGGCGATTGTTAAGCATATCAGATTACATAAAATTAGACGGAAAGCTAACTAAACACACAGAAGCTAGATGTACTTGTTTGATATTGAATGAATTTGCTATACAGATGCGGCACAAAGTGCGATTTCAAAAATTAGACTTTGCTAAAACCTTAGTCGTTTCTCTACTGAAATCAGTAAGAAGAGAAAAAAATTTTGAGAGAATTAATTTTCCCAAGGAGAAATTTTTCTCATACAAGAAATTATAGAATTGCAGTTTCTGCAGAACCAATTATCGCAACCCGTTCTGTCAATAGAACTTTTCATCTCAGATTGATTTGATTGTGCAAAATTTATGAAAATTCAAAGTACCAAAAAACGGTCAAAAGTTCTAAAAAACGTTCAAGCAAGTTAAGTTATGGCCGCTTAAGCAGAGAAGATTTCCAAAGCCAGGTTTCTCGATTGAACACAACCTGAGAAATGGCCCGATAGTTTTCGCGGAAAATAAATAATTTTGCAAAAAACTGTCAAAGTTTCAAAACTTTGACTTGTTTTGAGACCATAACTTCTTTCCTAAACAAACAGGGCATAGCCAATTAAAAAGTAGGGCTTTCAACAACCTATTCATTATATTGAACCTATAAAATCAGATTTGGCGAGAAAAGTCCAAAAAACAGTCAAGAAATAAAAAATTTTGACGATTCCGAAAGCCATAGCTTTTTATGTGCAAAAATCACGCAGTAAAGTTATGCACAAAACATTCCCGCAACCTCTAATTTCGATTGAACCCTAAATCTCAGATTTGTGAGGGTAGTTTTCGAGAGAAGTCAAAAACTTTTAAAAAACGGTCAAAAATTCAAAACTTTTTTGAGAAATTTTTGACTTTTCAGAGGGCGACAACTTCTTGTGAAAAACATTTTGTTAGTATCAGCTAAAACAGAGGAGCTTCCCACTACCTGTTATCTCATTGAACCCATAATATCAGATTTGACAGATAGTTTTCGAGAGAAGTCGAAAAGATTCAAAAAATGGTCAAAAATCAAAAACTTGACTATTCTGAGGGCCATAACTTATTGTGCAAAAAAATTTTTGGTCGTAGCCACTTATGCAGGGTAGCTTTTCAAATCAGTTCTTTTCATAGAAACCAAAAACTCATATTTGAGAAGGGTAGTTTTTGAGAAAATGAAAGAAACAAAAAAAATGGTTCAAATAATCCCCCACACTTCTTCGAAGGCTGTGGACAGAGGAGTCGAGTAAAAAAGACTCTAAGGGAGTAGGCAAGAAGTAAGACGAGTAAATGGTCTTTAAATTGATACCCTTTTTTGAAAATCAAGAGAAGTTTCCGGGAAAACGGTCAACAAATAAAAAAATTGACGATTCCGAGAGTCATAGCTTTTTATGTGCAAAAATCACGGAGAAAAGTTATGCACAAAAGATCCCGTAACCTCTAATTTCAATTGAACCCAAAATCTCAGATTTGGGAGGGTAGCTTTCGAGAGAAGTCAAAAACTTTTAAAAAACGGTCACAAAATCAAAACTTTACTTTTACGAGGGCCAAAACTTGTAGAGCCAAAGCTTTGGGCGTAGTCGCATACGCAAATGACCTTCCCGAAACCCGTTCCCAGAATTGAACCCAAAATCTCAGGTATGACTGGGTAGTTTTCGAGAATTTTTTGACTTTTCAGAGGGCGACAACTTCTTGTGAAAAACTTTTGTTAGTATCAGCTAATACAAGGAGCTTCCCACTACCTGTTATCTCATTGAACCCATAATATCAGATTTGAGAGTTAGTTTTCGAGAAAAGTCGAAAAGATTTACAAAATGGTCAAAAATCAAAAACTTGACTATTCTAAGGGCCATAACTTTATGTGCAAAATTTTTTTGGTCGTAGCCACTTATGCAGGGTAGCTTTTCAAATAAGCTCTTTTCAATGAAACCAAAAACTCATATTTGAGAAGGGTAGTTTTTGAGAAAATGAAAGAAATTAAAAAAAAATGATTCAAATAATCCCCCACACTTCTTCGAAGGCTGTGGACAGAGGAGTCAAGTTAAAAAGACTCTTAGGGAGTAGGCAAGAAGAAAGACGAGTAAATGGTCTTTAAATTGATACCCTTTTTTGAAAATCAAGAGAAGTTTCCCAGAAAACGGTCAACAAATAAAAAAAATTGACAATTCCGAGAATCAAAGCTTTTTATGTGCAAAAATCACGCAGAAAATTTATGCACAAAAGATCCCGCAATCTCTAATTTCGATTGAACCCAAAAACTCAGATTTGGGAGGGTAGCTTTCGAGAGAAGTCGAAAACTTTTAAAAAACGGTCACAAAATCAAAACTTTACTTTTACGAGGGCCAAAACTTGTAGAGCCAAAAGCCTTGGGCGTAGTCGCATACGCAAATGACCTTCCCGAAACCCGTTCCGAGAATTGAACCCAAAATCTCAGGTATGACCGGACCGGGTAGTTTTGGAGAAATTTTTGACTTTTCAGAGGGCGACAACTTCTTGTGAAAAACATTTTGTTAGTATCAGCTAATACAGAGGAGCTTCCCACTACCTGTTATCTCATTGAACACATAATATCAGACTTGAGAGTTAGTTTTCGAGAAAAGTCGAAAAGAATCACAAAATGGTCAAAAATCAAAAACTTGACTAATCTGAGGGCCATAACTGATTTTGCAAAAAAATTTTCGGTCGTAGCCACTTATGCAGGGTAGCTTTTCAAATCAGTTCTTTTCATTAAAACCAAAAACTAATATTTGAGAAGGGTAGTTTTTGAGAAAATGAAAGATATAAAAAAATGGTTCAAATATTCCCCCAAACTTCTTCGAAGGCTGTGGACAGAGGAGTCACGTAAAAAAGACTCTAAGGGAGTAGGCAAGAAGTAAGACGAGTAAATGGTCTTTAAATTGATGCCCTTTTTTGAAAATCAAGAGAAGTTTCCGCGAAAACGGTCAACAAATAAAAAAATTGACGATTCCGAGAATCATAGCTGTTTATGTGCAAAAATCACGCAGAAAATTTATGCACAAAAGATCCCGCAATCTCTAATTTCGATTGAACCCAAAATCTCAGATTTGGGAGGGTAGCTTTCGAGAGAAGTCAAAAACTTTTAAAAAACGGTCACAAACTCAAAACTTTACTTTTACGAAGGCCAAAACTTGTAGAGCCAAAAGCCTTGGGCGTAGTCGCAGACGCAAATGACCTTCCCGAAACCCGTTCCCAGAATTGAACCCAAAATCTCAGGTATGACCGGGTAGTTTTCGAGGAAAATTTTGACTTTTCAGAGGGCGACAACTTCTTGTGGAAAATATTTTGTTAGTATCAGCTAATACAGAGGAGCTTCCCACAACCTGTTATCTCATTGAACCCATATTATCAGATTTGTGAGTTAGTTTTCGAGAAAAGTCGAAAAGAGTCAAAAATGGTCAAAAATCAAAAACTTGACGATTCTGAGGGCAATAACTTTATGCGCAAAAATTTTTTTGGTCGTAGCCACTTATGCAGGGTAGCTTTTCAAATCAGTTCTTTTCATTGAAACCAAAAACTCATATTTACGAAGGGTAGTTTTTGAGAAAATGAAAGAAATTTTAATAAATGGTTCAAACATTCACCCACACTTCTTCGAAGGCCGTGGACAGAGAAGTCAAGAAAAAAAAGACTCTAAGGGAGTAGGCAAGAAGTAAGACGAGTAAATGGTCTTTAATTGATACCCTTTTAGAAGTTTCGGAGAAAACGGTAAAAAAAAAATTGACGATTCCGAGAATCATAGCTTTTTATGTGCAAAAATCACGCAGAAAAGTAATGCACAAAAGATTCCCTCAGCCTTTAATTTCGATTGAACCCACTATCTCAGATTTGGGAGGGTAGCTTTCGAGAGAAGTCAAAAACTTTTAAAAAACGGTCACAAACTCAAAACTTTACTTTTACGAGGGCCAAAACTTGTAGAGCCAAAAGCCTTGGGCGTAGTCGCAGACGCAAATGACCTTCCCGAAACTCGTTCCGAGAATTGAACCCAAAATCTCAAGTATGACCGGGTAGTTTTCGAGAAATTTTTGACTTTTCAGAGGGCGACAACTTCTTGTGGAAAATATTTTGTTAGTATCAGCTAATACAGAGGAGCTTCCCACTACCTGTTATCTCATTGAACCCATATTATCAGATTTGTGAGTTAGTTTTCGAGAAAAGTCGAAAAGAGTCAAAAATGGTCAAAAATCAAAAACTTGACAATTCTGAGGGCAATAACTTTATGTGCAAAAAATTTTTTGGTCGTAGCCACTTATGCAGGGTAGCTTTTCAAATAAGCTCTTTTCAATGAAACCAAAAACTCATATTTGAGAAGGGTAGTTTTTGAGAAAATGAAAGAAATTTAAAAAAATGGTTCAAACATTCACCCACACTTCTTCGAAGGCCGTGGACAGAGAAGTCAAGAAAAAAAAGACTCTAAGGGAGTAGGCAAGAAGTAAGACGAGTAAATGGTCTTTAATTGATACCCTTTTAGAAGTTTCGGAGAAAACGGTAAAAAAAATTGACAATTCCGAGAATCATAGCTTTTTATGTGCAATAATCACGCAGAAAAGTAATGCACAAAAGATTCCCTCAGCGTTTAATTTCGATTGAACCCTAAATCTCAGATTTGTGAGGGTAGTTTTCGAGAGAAGGCAAAAACTTTTAAAAACGGTCAAAAATTCAAAACTTTACTTTTACGAGGGCCAAAACTTGTAGAACCTAGAGCCAAAGACTTTGGGCGTAGACGCATATGAAAATGAGCTTCCCAAAACCCGTTCAGAGATTTGAGCCCAAAATCTCAGGTATGACCGGGTAGTTTTCGAGAAAATTTTGACTTTTCAGAGGGCGATAACTTCTAGTGAAAAAATTTTTGTTAGTGTCAGCTAATACAGAGGAGCTTCCCACTACCTGTTATCTCATTGAACCCATAAGATCAGATTTGACAGATAGTTTTCGAGAAAAGTCGAAAAGATTTACAAAATGGTCAAAAATCAAAAACTTGACTATTCTAAGGGCCATAACTTTATGTGCAAAATTTTTTTGGTCGTAGCCACTTATGCAGGGTAGCTTTTCAAATCAGTTCTTTTCATTGAAACCAAAAACTCATATTTGAGAAGGGTAGTTTTTGAGAAAATGAAAGAAATCAGAAAAATGGTTCAAATATTCCCCCACACTTCTTCGAAGGCTGTGGACAGAGGGGTCAAGTAAAAAAAAGACTCTAAGGGAGCAGGCACGAAGTAAGACGAGTAAATAGTCTTTAAATTGATACCCTTTTTTGAAAATCAAGAGAAGTTTCCGAGAAAAGTTAAAATATTTGCAATAACTGAAAAAATTTCCAAAATGAAAAACTCGAAGTTTCAACAAAGCGATTGCTAAAACATACAACAACATTAAATGTGCGGAGAGTGCTTAAATTGAAACGTTTATCTTGTTTAATTTAAAAAGGCCCAAAATTAGTTCAAAGCGATGAAAAATAAGCCGAAACAATTGTGGCCGAGGAATTTTTTAACGATACAAAAAAAACATAGGAAATACGAAGTCAAAGTAAATAAAATTAAAAAACGTAGGCGTGAATCAAACCTTAAGAAGATCATTTAAAAGGCCCATAGAAAACAAAAACATTGCCAATCGAAGATTGGAAAAAAATCATGGACGCAAGCAAACATTAAAAAACACTGACTTTGTTGAAAAAATCCAGCCTTTCGATTTTCCAAGAAAAAATGGATGCTCTTTAAGCTCTTTGAATTTCTAGATTAATTTATGATTGCAGCTTTTTCGATAAAATTAACCCAACTTGAGAAAACTGGATCAACAGGTAAGGTTTTTATTCCGCTGGAAATCCATAAATTAAATTCCCTTTTCGAAACTAGAAATCGTTCACGTTTTTTTCGCGCCATTTGCATGTTTGTATTTGGATAGTGCTATTTACGTCTTTTTCAGCAGATTAAATTTTATTTAACTCAATTATACTTAAGTGCATTCAAAAACAAATCAAAATATATGAATGCACATCTGTAGTTATTAGAGACTTTAAGAATTTTTCCTAGACCTATATAAGAGTCTTCGCTACATTCATAACTCTTAAAAATTCCAAGATGTGACAAGTAAACCGACAACAGATAAGCAGACAAAGAATTGGCCGACATTTTTTTTGAAAGAATATTTCCCGTTTGAATATTTCCCTCTTAAGAAATTTGAAAACAGTAAGAATTAAGGTAGCAATGAGTCCAGACGTCTAGATGAGTCCTGTAAACCAAGTTGTTTTCGGGAAAAAAAAGTCACGTACCCAGTTAGATGCAAAACCCTTGCTATTTAAAAGGGTAATCATTGATGAAACATAACTTATACGGTAGTTTTTTTTTACACAACTAGCAGATTGGACGAAACGCAGAGCGCTAAAAAACCGATCGCTAAATAAAATTTCCCAAAAACAAAAAAGTTTTGAATCCCTTGCATATCAAAAGAAGTATCACAAATGAAGTATAAAACGTTAACCCTTCAATTAAAAATATTTTTTAATGCATAAATTACACGATTGCGATATAAGAAAAAACGATACACATTTAAGAAAGCTCGAACGAACCTTGATTGTAGTCGGTAAACGAACTTCAGGCAGATAACAGTACATTATGTCTTACTTCTCATAATTGTAGTTTTGCATCGACGTCTAAATTCTTTCTTTTGGTCACGTCTAATTTGCTTGCCATATAAATTTTCAAGCCCAACCACCATTAAAACCTTACAAAATTTCCTTGAGATAGTCAAAATTGGCTGGACAAAAATTAATGAGAGGACCCTACGCCATAGTCCTTCTCATGGCGTTAAATGAACCCTACGCCATACTTCCTTCCCATAGTTCCTTCCCAAGTTCAAGGACGAACAAACGAATGCGGAAACTTTGTTAGAAAAACTGTGCGCAGGACAAAATAGCAGACCCAAAAAGATTAAAAACCATTAACTCGACAAAAACTTAATCACTATGATTAGGTCAAATCAACCCAACGATATCATTGGTTTTTGAAAGGTTGTAGTTCTAATATTAAATTATAAGCAGAACCTCTTTTGTTTTCAATTTTCAAATTTATTCCATATTGCCAAGCAATTAAAAATTTTCCAAGTTCAACTATTTTCATTGATTTTTCCAAACTGAGCTAGAACCCATTTGAAACCGGCAAAATAATGGATACATGCAAGGTGTTGATTTTCTTTCCCCTCGCCCGACTCTCTAAGGTTGAACCCCTTTTTTGTACCCTAGATATACCAGTTATCACATTTACCCAAACTTCAACTTTTTTCGGAAAATTGAAAAAAACAATTGTCGCCGGGGATTCCATCATTTTATCTCTATAGTGTGAGTCTAACGCTTTAACCAGTATTTCATGCGTCCTTTGACTTTTATCTGACTTATTGTTCGATATTTGGTTCTTTGATCTTTAATTACGCTCATGATTGATTTTTTAAAGCGCAAATCTGTCGGCGCCAAAAGATCAAGGTAAAAAAATTCGCATGGTTTTTCACTGTTTAGTATGGGACTGTTTTTTGGAAGTTTTTATTGATGTTTCGGTTTCTTTTGTATCAGAATGTTTTGTATGGGACTGTTTTGTATATGAACCCACTCTTCGTATGATCGGAACAATAATCACTCATCTTACCTACCCCATGGGTCTGCGAGGACGAGGTGTTGGACTCTGGTGGGATGTTTAAGCATGTAGAAGTAGCTCAAGTAGGCTCCGAAAGAGTGACCCACAAGCACAAACTTATCCAGTGACATCGCCTAAACATATCAACTTACTCCGTTCTCATTCTCTCTAGAGCCCCATAACTACTTGTTGCTATATATCAATTGAAGTCAAATAGCAAAAAATATCGTTAAGGAAACTGAGCAAAAACTTCAGTTTAATTTCGAGAAAATTGACTTTTAGGTAAACAATTACCATTATTGAAAGTACACCATGCAACAGAAGAGATCAATTAAATTAACTTTGAAGTTAACTCTTCAATATTTATCTCATCTTCAAAATAATAATGAAAAACAATTTCTTGATAAAAGCCACCTTTCGCCATTGTTCCAAACTTTCGACGTATTCATCCACACAGGTTTGCGAATCTTTGGAAAAATTGTAGTTCCTGGAACTATTCGCAAATCCCAGCAGATCCAGGGCATGGACAGGAGCTGTGGCAGCCAGAGTTTCGTAGTTCAAAACCCAAAGACCTAGTGCACCAAACAACTAAACTCTGCAACGAGAAAATTGGCGAGCGAGAGACATGAATCGTCATTTATTTATTAGAATCAGTCAAATTGTGATTTTAAGCTATTTTTAACAAAAACTCTCCAAGGCTGCACTGATAATCTTGACAATTTTGACAAACACTGATACTTTTCATGAAAAACTAGCACTATTTTCTCTATTTTTTCAAAGCTGACCTAGTCCGGATCCGAAGCCATGAATCATTACAAGAGGCAGAGACGACCATCTTCTTTTCGTATCTTCGTCCTTAGAACTCTCTTTTGAATGTTGGTCTTGCTCTTGCGACTGTTGGTCAAATGATATGGTCCGAATATTGTACCTCGACATTGGACCAGTCATGAGCATTTTTAAAAATCAGTATTTAAACTCAATGTACACTTATCAGTCTACAAAGAAAAAATAAATGCCCAAAAAGAATGCAAACAGGCCAATATTACACTTTGATGTGTGAAATTACACCTGACTACAGTGCCAATAGACAAAGATTAAAAAGATTTTTTAACTATTAGGTACTTTCCGTTATTGTTCCGACCTTTTTTTTTGCTTTTTGTTTTCCACGCAAAATCAGGTACCACATATAATGAGCGGACTGGGTTGATTGATATATCATACTAAAGCCATTTCAGTCGTGATTCGAACCACATTAAAAAAAATCCAAAAAGTTTTCCCAGTGTCGAGAAAAACCGGTTTGAAATTTTTGTTCTTAGTCCTTATTCGAGCGAATCAAGCAAGCAAGCAGGCTTAGAAGCTGAATTATGCCTAATTTAGGACCTTAAAACTTAATTTTAAGCAAGTAACCAAAAACTTCAGCAAATTTTTTTAAGTTTTTTTTTCTACAATTTTGCCCAATTTGCTTATATTACTATGACTGTCCAATATGCCTCAATTATATTTTTACGTCGGATCCTTTATCATACCAAGCAGAAAAAAACTACACTAATTTGGAAAAAAAAATTTCTAAACCGTAGTTTTCTTAAGACTATGGTCGGAACATTCTGTGCTGCTTGTTTCGACTATGCGAACAGACAATATATTTGAACTGACAAAAAAGACCACTTGAATTGTGTAACAGTATAATGTTCAAGACAAAAAGACTCAATGATCGTGAACATTCTGCGATTTGCTGTATGTTTTTCTTAGCGTTTTGTGCTCATTACTGGTGCGTATTTTGAGCGCTGCTTCGACCGAATAGACGGAATCCCTTGGAGGGTAGCTCTATCATCACATCTCTGATCGAGTAAGTGGTCTTTGGAATACATCTCAGTATTGCAGCCTCCGCTTTCGCCAACATCTCCTCGGAAGAGGGAACCCACAATCCCATCACATCAATAAACCTTAAAGTCAGGCCCAGTATTATAAAAATTCTGAGCACAAAATTATATTCATAAATCTGACATTAGATCGAACAGCCACACAAAGGGACAGGAAAAGAGATCATTAATCACCAGTAACAAAAACTCTTGTGGCATGCCTTTGAGTGCGGTCTGCAAGGAGACAACCACGTATTCATACTCGTCAGTAAGTACACAAATACTGTATAAACTAATCAGACTCGAGACGAGCAAGCTACGAAAGAAAAAAAAATTATTTATTAATAAATCGGTAATTTTGCTTTCTGATCTCGATTCTGATTGGTTGATGCAGGATTTGTCTACTTACTGACGAGTATGAATACGCAATTGTCTACTTACTTACTTCTACCTAACCGAATACCTTGAAAAACTTCGGGTAAAACAGAAAATTTATCACTTGCGATTCAAAAATGAATGACTATGATTGAAATCAAATAACAAAATTGCAAAAATATCCCAAAATATCCGGAGCAAATCTAACTGCACTATTAAGAACTCTATAAACAGCTTTCGAAAAGCTAGAAAGAAGCTTTCAAAAAACTCCTTTATGTGGGAATTAAGTCAAAACAAGCTGACACAAAAATCTAAAATAGCCGAAAGTTTTCAATTTGCAAAGAAACTGGAATCGAACTCCTGGGCTCTGTCGTCTCAAGCATGGGTGCTACAGCAAATTGGAAGAAACCTGAAACTTCAAAAAAATCGGGCTACGGGAATCAAGCCGACAAAAATAGGCAGACCACCGATAGCCCGAAACAGCAAAAAAATCATGTTCGCAAAAAACAGGTACCGGACGGATTTGAACCACAAGCCTTTGCCGTTTCAAGCAAGTGAGTTACCTCTACGACACATTCTCCGGCTGGTTGACTGAATTTGAAGTTGTAATCAGAAACCGTGCATTCGAAAAAGGTGCAACGTGCTGAAAAATGAGGTCTTAAAATTAGAGATCATCCAGTGAACAAAGTTGTTTACGGGGAAAAATTGTAGTACCCGATTGTAATACCCTAATTATCGCAAGGGCAAAAAAAACATAATGCACGAAAAATCTGTGGCAGGGGTGGATTAAGGGGGGGGGGTCCCCTTTGTACTATTTTGAGATATCCATTTTTGCTGACGGACCCTAAAACTTTTCTGAAAGCGCCAATATATACTAAATTTGAGGAGAGAGTGCGCGCCGGAAAAAAATCAATTTTTGATCAAAATTTTCCAAAATAGCTTAAAAACGCTTTTTTTGGCCTATTTTTTCAAAACTTTGGCTGCGGCGCAGAAAGTTAGGCCAAAACAAGGACTTTTTAGTGCTTTGAGAGAGCTAGAAAAATCAATTTGGTCGACCTAAAAAAAGGTCGACAAAATTTTTGAAAATCTGCCACCACCCCCACCCTCTCGAGAAAATCCTAGATGCGCCCCTGATCTGTGGTATGCACAGTAATTTTTTTGCAAGCTAACCAGATAAGTTGTAGAATCAGCTAAAACTAATGAAGCGTTGGGCAAAATACCGTTCAAAAATCATACAGTTTGTCGAGCCTCGCAAGCATTCTTTTCATAAGCTAAAAAAGCATTCTTTTCGAAAATCAATTTACTCGAAAAAACATCAACACTTAACTTTCGACATCAAAACTGAAGAATATGTGCAATCCCAATCAAATGTTTTTCTTTTCCAGTAACGCATTTTAATCTCAACACACTTAAGCAGAACTTAATCTCAACACACTTAAGCAGAACTTAATCTCAACACACTTAAGCAGAACGACTTCCTTGCCTTAAAAGCGAAGGCCATTCGTTGACATTTCTCTCTCGCTGCTGATAGATAATGCGTTAAGTCTAGCTCGGGTTTGATCAGTCAGCGATCAGTCTGGGTCCAATTATCACAGCACAAACTCTCGCCTCTCTTTCTCTGGATCAGCTGAAATCCCCTGCAGTTCTCGAAGAGCTTCTAAAGTCAACTTGATGAAAGCACGAATCTTCACTATCTTCTCGTCCAACTCTTTTGCCCCACTTTCTAGTTTCTCGATTTGACCTTGGATGAACTCTGTGGCTTCTGGTAACGTGTATTCTAAATATATTCCCAATCCTATTCTCACAAACACCATTGAAGTGTCGGGTATTTTAGCAGTCACGTAAAAGTTGCAGCCGAGGTCGTACTTTGTCTTCAGATTGGATCCTATTCCGTTTTCGATTACAGAGTCAATCACCGCTTTTGTGTTCATGTATTCTATGCACTCCATGTGGATTGTGTCAAGTTGTTGCAAAGTTTTCTGGAGATCTCGTTTCAAAACATCATTTATGTATCGCTCATACTCGAGTACTTTCGCCTCAACGTCTGCAGGCTTGAAAACTTCGGCGACTGGATCCATACTTACTTAAAAAGAGATATTTCTGAAACTCCCAAGCAAATTCAGAATGAAACTTTGATAATTTTTGATTATGTTGCACTGATGCGAGATGAAATTGGTAATCTAAAAAACTGAACTTTACCTGAAACTTTAAATGTTTCTCTAGTGAAATATATTAGAATTTTTTTTTGGTAATTTAGAATTTTCCCTAGAGCATAACATTTTTTAAAAATTTGGACGAAGTCGCTTATTCAGGGGACTTTCAAACAACCTGTTCGTTCGATAACAACCTGAACAAAGCATTGAAAGCTAGAGCAGATAGAAAATGAGAAGGCGGTCACTAAGTCGAGTTTTTTTTTCAACAAAAAACCTATACAAAAATTTTAAACGTTTTCTCGAATGATGTTCAATTAAAAAACAAAAAATCGGGGAAACACTATCTAAAGCGTTAAAAAAACTTTCAAAGCCCATTATCAGAGCAGAAGACAAGCCAACAAAACTTGGGTAGACTTTCACGGAGCCTGACCAAAATTGTTGCCATAGAAAACTGAAATCGATAAATTTAAAACTACAGAAACACCTCCAATTACAGTGAAACTTGAGACCGACATTATGAATAGTCCAAGCGTTGCAAAGGAAGATCGCGAAAACTAAGCAGACAAACGGTGGTCCGGCTATTCACATTTTCCCAGAAAAAAAGGCAAACTTCTAAGCGTATCGAAAAACTAAAACCTTCAGATTTCAAGGTACACTCTTTAATAGTAGACCTAGTAATTTCGAAAGTAAAACCTTTGGTTAGCGTTTACAAAAAAAGGAAAGAAAAAATTTTGGTTCCCGATTACAAGTCACTTGCGCTAGCAATCGCAAAGATCTTAAAAACAAACCATAAAAAAATCAACTTTAAACGTAAACGATTTTTACTAAGACTTTTTTTTCGAAGGAAAAAGTGAAAAAACCAGAAAAAAATCCAATGACAGGGAAAAACGAAACTTTCTTCAGCAAAGAATGAATCATCTTTTTCACCATGTGGAGCTGGTGAAACAATCTACTCCCTCAACATTTAGTTTTTCTACGCTGAAAATGTTTTATCAACTTAGTATCCAAACACACACAAAAAAGAAATATACTTTCTATTTTCTATAACTCGCGACTACTTTTTCTTCAACAAACAGAAACACCAAAATCTGGTGTAGCGAAATCGATCCTACGACCAGGAGATTTAGAGTCCCCTGTCCTCTTATCTGCGCCACGGGTTCTGGACATTTTACTAACACAAGCCACAATTAAAGCAGCTACATATGCTAAAAAATTGTCAATGCGATGCAGCAAAACTGGCACCAAATATTCAGAGACACAATTTTGCATGCAATAACTTGTAGTATAACAAACTGAAGGCATCCACTCTACTATAGCATATATAAAAATGGAAAGCAAAAAGCCAAACTATGTATAAATTATGCATTTCAAAAAAATAGCGAAATATAAAGAGTTGGAAAATGTCTGAAATCGAGTTTTTAATGTGTCAAACAAATCGCTTTATTCAGTTCAATTGATGAAGTAAAAATGCATCAATTGTGTCAACTTATTGCTAATCAATTGTCAGAGTACATGCTATCAAAAACCCCTCGATGGCACCAAAAGTGGCACCAATATTTGCTACTTAAGTTAGAAAAAAAGATCAGTCGTTTTATTACACTTCGCTCACTAGTGTGATCACACACGATTCTGAAGCTGCTTTCTACCAATGCTGGGAACAATAATATGTAAGTGATTTGAACAATCTTGGAAAAGAGCCAAGGAACGCCAGGAAACAGAAAGAAACACTGACTACTAAGAAGAAATGGGGTCTACAGGTTCTTTGAACGCAAAAAAATTTACACGTTTTTGATAAAAATAAATCCATATCGAGATAGGTAAAATTTCCGCTTGGAAATCAAAGCCCTCTTTCAAAACTACAAGTTGTTTTTTCGTGGCCTTTGCGCTATTGGTGTTCGAAAAAGGAGCTTGCTTTCCTTATAACAAAGGAAATGAACTGAACATAAAAAGAAATTAAGCAGCAAAAAATCAAATTTGATTGAATTTACTGAACTTTTGCTGAGAGAAAAAAACCATTACGACCTACCTATATAAGAGTATTCACTACGTTCATCGACTCTAAATAAAGCACCAGCATATTGATTCAATATCCTGGCCGTATGAAAGTCAAAACTGTACTTTTACCGGTGAGATAAACCCCTGATAGGACTCCACGCCTGTATCCAATATATTAGCCCAAGCGAACCACTGATTGTATCCTGGCCGAATGCAGGTTACAGTTACAGTTAAGTGCTTTCAACTATTCTTCGACTGAATATAGTTAATATAAGCTCGAAAGACTGATAAAACTTGACTAACATCTAAGTTTTTAACAAAACTCAAATAACCAATAAGATATAACTGCGTGAAATCAGTTTCTACGATTTGAAAATAATCACAACTAGATAGCATCAAATCAAATTCGACTTGATGACGCAACTGAAGTTGAGGTCAAAATCGTTGACTCTTCTGATCTGCATTGTTCAGCTTCACTGTTGTTGTTGTTCGTGTTGAGGTTGGTTAGTCTCAGTCTGAGCATTCGACCACTAGAGGACGAGGAAGAGTTTTGAACTAAATAGTCGACTAAATTGTTTTCACTCGGTGTCTGCTGATTGGCCCCACCCGACGTGGGAGTCGCAGCATTGCCCTCTCTACTTGCTAGTCGAGACACCACCTTGAAAAAGACATTTATCAACCTTCAAAATGTCTCCAATCTTGATCTGATTTCTCGTAGAGAAAGATCAAACTTATCCCTGGAATTTATTGATTTCTGAGAGCTACAAGGCTTATTGTTAAATTCATGCTTTTTATATAAATCTTTCAGTTATGAGTGAATCGGGATTCTATGCCCTTCTAGGACACAGAGATGAGTTTGTGTCTTCAAAAAAGGGCACGGACATCATTTAAAAGCAATAACTATCTCATTTAGAAAAGAGCAGAGCAAATCGGAAATTAGCAGTCATTATAGAATATTACTTCCTTTCCTCTTTCTCTCTGAATGGACCACATCAAATTTCATTTCACATTAAGATACAATTTGAGTTCACTTTAGAATGAAACTATATTTCACCTTCCGTTTGCCTCCACTTGTTGAGGAGTTGGATGTCTGCTGCTGAAGCTGAGCTTCACTTGAAGCAGTGTTATTGTCCTCTTTATTACTTTGACCTTGTTGTTTGGTTCTCTTGAACTCCCGCTGGCTTTTCTTCTCATCCACAAACTCCTGCACTGCGGGACTCACAACACACCAACTGGAGTAGCCCAAGTCAACACACACCTACAGGCACTCAGACTATTCACATTATGCATAACAGTAACTACATGTTTCACCAAGTATAGTTTGTTGCTGAGCACGAAGATAAGAAAGCTCCGAGAACCAACAGAGCGGAGAGACAATAAACAAAATCAAATTTCAGATTCTTCAATATGCTCATTGGCATTTAATGATTAAAAACATCAAGTTTTCTTACCTTTTTTTTGAATTTTTTTTGAAATCACGAGTCTAATAGCTTCAATGCGATATAAAATCCGAATTCCTACGCTGTGTCTTTGTGTTGAGTTTGCGTGAAAAAAAAACACCTATATACGCGCAAATCCTCCCCACTACGAGGATCGGAATCAAAGGCGAGCTACCAAATTGCAAAGTTTAGAAGGATTTAGCTGTTATTCAACGAAATATTTCGGATAACTTCGATAAAAAACACATATTGATAGAAAATTGTCTTGAGTGAATTTATTTTAAATTTAATTAAAAAATATATATTAGTTGACTCACCCCAATGAACACAATCCATAGAGGGGCCATGATAGCAGCTGCGGGCATATATGACATTAGATTGTCGGTTGAGAGACAGAGGAGTACTTGGAAGGATATTTTGCAGAGGACGAAACAGAGGAACCACACTGCTCTATACTTGGATAGAATCACGTCACCTCCACTTGAACTACTGGCTGAAAGTAGGATCGTGTAAGGGCTGTGTGATTCAATGATAAAAACAACCTTTGAGTTCACTTTAGAATGAAACTATATTTAACCATCCGTTTGCAGGAAGGTTATATTCTTATAACATACCTTTGCTGGCATACTGTTTTGTTACTATTAATCCTTTTTTAAGATAACTTTAGATTATTTTGCGCGAGCGGGTTTGACAAATCTTCACCTAAGGGATGCTTGAGTCAGATGTTCTTTCCTCTTGTCCAGCTAATTTTATTTAATTGTTTTAATTGGTATATAATGTTATTTAATTGGTATATATTTAACTGGCATCAAAGTGACGCTTTCACACAACTACTCACTTCTTTAAGCCCAAGCTCAATCCAAATACTTTGAATCGAAAGCTATTTTAACTGAATTGGAAAAAAAATTGCAATGGGCTGCAAAAGTTTCGTGGTTAGAAATAGGATATAGTTAGCACAGAGGCGAAGCGGAGCTTCGCATCACTAGCAATACAACACAAACATTAAAAAAAACATAGTTGAAAAAAGTGAAAAATGTTGAAAAACAACGAGAGGCCAAGCTAAAGCTGCAGGTATACTTATTTGCTATTGTTTGAATTTGTTATACTGATTCCGGACGAAATGCGAAATTTCAAAAATTGGACTTTGCCCAAAACCTTAGTTTCTCTACAATAATAAGTGAGAAGAGAGAAACTTTTTGCGATATTGGAATTTTCTCAAGGACAACATTCTCTAACAAAAAAAATAAAGATTCGCCTTTCCTGTGGAAAAAATTCTCCAACCGGTTCTTTCGATTGAACTTTTCACCACAAATATGCTAGGGCAGTTTTTCAGAAAATTCTACAAAAAGTTAAAAATTCAAAAACTTTCCCAAATCCATAATTTTTTGTGCAAACAGCATGTCGTGGACACTTAAGTATTGAAGATTCCCCAAACCGGGTTTCTCGATTTAATAGTTAACCTTAGAACTGGGACGGTAGTTTTCGATTAGAGACAAAAATTTCACAAAACTTAGACTTTTTGAAGGTCGTAACTTTTTTTCATCAAAAAATTGGGGGCGATCAATTATAAAGGCAGACTTCCAACAACTTGAAACTTTTTTTGGCTTCTTTCGAAACTCGTTTAACATATTGGTGCCATGTACCTGGCGTTTAGCCTACTTTTGGCCATACAGTAGAGAAACTGATCCTCGTCTCACCTTTTAATCATAGACTAGAGAACTTTTCCTTTCATTTTGACTGTTGTCTCTAGGTAAATTCATTATATAGTGATACTAATCATAATAAAATAAATAGTAAAATATTCCTAATAATAATCGTAGTAGAAATAATAATCATGATAATAATATTTAAAAAAATAATAACAGAGAGGCAAAGCTGCGGTTCGCAAACACAAGCGATAACAAGACAAAAAGCAACTCTATAAAAAGCAATAAGAAAAAATAGAAATCAGTCTCCAATTTGTAACAATTCAGCTACGACTGAGATTCGAATCTGCGACCAAGAGATTATGAGCCTCACACACTAACCACTCAGCCACGGACGCTTAATACATGAACCGCTAAAACATTTCCAATGCTCTACAACTGATGGGACGACCATTTTGAAATACCACTCCACAAACACTTGCCACAAAATAGTAGAGAACAGATGCTTTGCAACTAACAATGCTACAGTGAAATTTCCATATAAGTGAAAACTTTTAATAAACACTTTTATTTGCTAGTTAGCTTAAAAAAAGAAGGTTCGTACTAAAACACCAATGCTCGCAAGCTCAAGAGTAATAATACTAATAACACAGAGGTGAAGCTGAGCTTCTCGCCACTTGCGATACAAAACAAGAAAACCACTAGATCGGCAAAAAATCGAAAATGTCGAAAAAATTAGATCTATCGAAACGAATTAGGCTAGTCTTGAAACAAAAACATGCCAAGACAACAAAACGCAAAGTTAGCATCGGAAGAAAATTTAACAAGCTGTACCAAAGCCGAAAATACCTTCACAGAAAAATGAAAAAAGCCAACAAGAATTATGACTTATTAAAATCATTAAGTCCCACTCATCTTGAAAACACAAGCACACAAAACCTTATTCAATCTTCATATGAAACAATATGAGGTCACTAGGGCGATATACTATAGGCTGAAACAAAAGCCAAAAAGAAAAAAATTACAAAAGCCGGAAAAATTCAAAAAAAATTGCCTTTTAATAAGTTATTAAGTCGTCCTCACCCCCAAACACACACACGCACATACAAAATTTTTTCACTTCTCAAAAAAACGCAATATGGGGTATTTAAGCTGATTTTATATAGGCTGAATCCTATCAAGCGGATCAAAGAAGAAAAAATAAAAAGCAGAAAACAAAAGGATGTCATGAAAAACTATAAATTCGACTAAGATTTTCAGCATTTTGCGCAATCCAGAGGGGAGCATGAGACTTATGTTTTCCTGAATCTCTCAACAATTGGTCACTACGCCGACAAAAAATGAGCAGAAATCATTTGTGCAGAATGAATTTTTTAAGCGAAGAAAAAAGCAAAAAAAAAATTATACATCAAGGTTAGTAAATTTACAAATAGCGGAAAAAAACCGAAACACTAAAAACAACTACAAATTAACTTGCGTGCAGCAAAAAGAAAAAATCTACAATGTGGCAACTAGGCAGACAAAACATAAGCAGAAAAGGATTAGCCGACAACAGAATATTTCCCATTTGAAAAAAAAAAAAGGTCCTGTTAGATTCTAATCTGAGACCTTGGCCATCTCAGGCGCATTCGCTACCTCCAGACAACGTGTAGCTGAGAGGCGAAACAAATATGAATTTATTAAGAAAAGAACCGAAATTTACCATTTCTAATTTTGATCATTCTGTGAACAAAGTGAACCATTCAGAAAAAAATTAGTGTACCCGATTGCAATACTCTTGCTTATCGCAAGGGTAATAATAAAAATTCTACTATGATTATTTTATACGATTTTATTGAACTATAACGCACTATATCGCACAGCCCTACAATTCGTGGCGTATGACTGTAAAACTGGTACTGTCGACAGTAGAATTTGAGTGAGGGATAGAATGAGAAGGAGGAAGTCGAGTAGCCACATGGGGGTGAGAACTAGGAACCAGCTCCACTCAGTAGGTCCATCCAACTTCAGCATAATACACACATTCAGCGAGATGAAGAACAAGTAGAACATAAGCACCTTGTGCACAAACATCGTCAGTCGACTCACAAAAAGACACGACAGCTAGTTCTGAAAATTCACAATATTTCATTAAATATAATTCTAGGCCGCTTACAACTCCCAACAGATATAACCCAAGATCCGAAATGGCTTCATATCACTTGGAATACTGATAGAAAAAGGTCTTCATTCTTTCATAAACTGCGGATTTTGCCTATTATAACACCACAAAATAAAAAATCCGCTGTTTAAGTGCTTAACTATTAAGGAGAAAGAAATGACGTTTCTCCAAAATTCTAATTTTGCTTATATTTTTTGATGACTAGACCTCAACTAATTGTTCCGACTTTCAAAGAAAGTGAGGAATATTTATGCTCGGTGTGTTTTTTTATTCAGTCAATTTTCGACTTGTTAACTAAGTTTTTTTGACTGAATTTTTTTTATATCATCTGAGAGGTATTGTTATCCTGAGCTCAAATTTAATAAGATATTTCACCTGTGATTATTTTTCGTTTAAAAAATTTAATCCTCTTATCACAGACGTTAAATACAGCAACTTTTCACCTATCAAAATGGTGTATTTAGCGTCTCGTATTGTAATAATAGGATTACGTTTTTTAAAACGAAAAATGATACAGCAACTTTTCACCAATCAATAATCGCAACTTTACAAAAAATGATCACAGGTGAAATATCTTTTGAATTTTGAGCTGAGCATAACATTATCTCTCAGATGGTATAAAAAAATTCAGTCTCAAACGCTTCATTACGAGGCCAAACTGTGCACTAGATAGGCGCACAATTTTGTGTCTGTATGTACCTGGATTCCAAAAACTAATATTTAAACATGTTCCAAAATGTAAGTGGATTCCACTTACAAAATTTCCGTGGATTCCGCGTACACATGAGTGTAACGTAAATTTTGTCGGCACATTTGTTGTGTCGCGGATTCCGCAACAAGCGAATATAGCTAGTTGTTTTGGATTCCGCAACTGTAAGTGGATTCCAAAAAAATGAAAGCCGAATCCGCAAATGTAAGCGGATTTAGCAAACTGTAAATGAATTCCGAATTTTGTTCAATACTGAACTTGCATATGAACAATTAAAAGCTAGAGCTGGAATTCTTATCTCTAGCAATTTGGAACTTAAAAGTGAGGACTTAACCATCGTCAGCGGAATCCACGAACAAGTCTGACAGTTGCGGATTCCGCGACAGCTCAATTTAACTATACACATGTCTTATTGTTTGTTTGTGGGCTCCACAAACTGTTTTGGATTCCGCAAATACGGTTGCGGATTCCGCAAATTCGTCTATTTTCGGAGCGATGTTGAGCGGAACAGTGTTTTAAGTTTTTGTTTGTGGAATATATTCCATAACAGCAAAGAAGATCAAAGAAAAGTAGCAATGTTGTGGATTCCGCGACAAATCTGATTTAGGTCTGTAGTGGAATCCGCATACAATACACAGAATGCACAGTTTGGCCTCGTAATGTTAGTTAACAAGTCGAAAACTGACTGAATAAAAAAACCACACCAAGCATAAATGTTCCGCACTTTCTTTGAAAGTCGGAACAAAAATTAAATCGTTTTAAACGCCTCCCTGAAATTGCATTTCGTTAGGATCTTCTCCTAATGGCTTCTCTAGAAAATCATTAAAGACAATTGCAGAATAGATCGATTCAAAAAGTTTTCCAGCAAGGTCAATTAAAGAGAAAATAAATCTAATATGGTCGGCTGGCATCAATTCGCAAGTAAATAGTAAGTGTAGCCGGTTCGTGTACAAGCCGGTTCCGACTACAATAAAATATGAAAAAACACGCTTTTGTGCCATTTTTTGAGCAAGAATGAAAGAGAGGGACCGAACTAGGCTTGAAAAATAAATCATTATTTCAGTTGACCACAGTTATCATTGCAAATTTTATAACAAAATGATGACACACTCTTACTGTTTTCAACTTTTGAAGTCAATTTTACATATTTTCGAGCAATAGTGAAGCCTCAAAATTTTGTTGTTTCAACTATGACTTTCATTTGCAAGCTTAATAAAATTTTACACGCTCTGCTTGCTTGCTTTACTCGCAGTACAACGTGAGTAAAAATTAAACCATTCCAAGTAGTTTTTCGCGATACTGGTACAAACATATGTGAAAATTCAAATATTTTCAAATACTGATCAATTCACGACTGAAAGGACTTAAATATGATATATCACTCGACCCCATCTGACGTGAAGAAGCACCTGACTCTACGTGAACAAAATGTTAGCAAAAAAATTGAACAGAACTGAAGATAAAGCTCCTACCGACTTTCAGTGATCGGAAAAAAATAAGTCTTTGAGCCGTCTTTTCCAGTGATACAGGTTCAAGAACTTCTGACAGCTTGTTTCAATTCGCAAAAAAAATCCACAAAGATTTTCTAGGAAGTTTGAATTTTCCACGGCTCACTTGAATCTACTCGTAAGCAAACTTCTGAAGAATTTAAATCCTTTGTCAATTTACTTTTTGAGAACTTAAACCAATCAGCAAGATACTTACACTTTTATATGCTTGTTTTCAATTTCAAAAGCCAGAACAGTTCACGCAAGTTTTCCAAGAAATGAAGCACAGCAAAAAGAGCGCAATTAATTTCGAGAGCTTGAATCGATCCAAAAAAAATAGGTTTACACAAAGTTATGCACTCAATGGAGAATTTATTAAGTTTCAGCTACGAAAAACATGGATTCAATAAAAAAAAACAATTTTCAGACTGTATTTTAAAGCAAGGAAAATGAATTCAACAGATCAAATTCAGTGCGATTCAAAAAACGTTTTTTAAATTCCCCAAAGGGCTACTTTGCCTGCTAAACTTAGCTTACTCAGTGCTTGATACAAAACAAATAAACAAAACATGATTTTAGCTCCATACTTTTTTACAAGGTATAATCTCTAATACTTGAGTATGTGAGACTCATTGCCTTGCAAATAATCATACTTGCCTATAGTATGCTTCTTTGTGCAAGACGAAAATAAAAAATCATACGGAGGCGAAGCAGAACTTCTCGCCACTTGGGATACAAGGCAAAATAGCATGGAAAGATGGTCGAAAAATTTTAATGGAAAAACTAATTTTTGAGAAAAATTTTTTTTATAAAAAAAAAATTGTGTGCAATGATGCCGCAATGAAATACGGCTACTCCGCAGCGCCCCATTAATATCTTCCTTATTTCGAGCTAATAGGAAAAAAACGTGAAAAAAAAACGAAATTTTAACAAATTGAATTGGTAAAATTATTACCAACATAAAAAAGATAACTTCAAATAGAACGGATACTTAAAATGCCAACATACTCAAAATACATCTGTTGCAGTATTTCTAAAAGAGAAGACCAGGAGATGAATGAGTCTCGGAGATGAGTTCTGTGAACAAAGTTATTTAAGGGGAGAGATGTCTAATACCCGGTAACACTCGCTATTGCAAGTGTAATGATAGAACTCGCAACCTGCCTCCCTCTAGGCAAACGCATTTCCACTTAAACTTCGACGCCCGAACAGTAGTATTTTCACTCATGATATAATTGGAAACCAGAAAACAGGAGTGCATACATCATGATCTGTAGTAAAGTTTTCAATCTTTAAAGTCACCGGACAAATTTGCTTCGAACTAACATAGCCAACTGACAGTTGGAAAAGAGTACTAGTGAACGCACGCACGGACTTGTTTTTTCGAAAATCTTCAACTTTTGCATTTCGAATGAGAAATTAAATTACCTTAAAGCTCTTTGAAATTGCAGAACAATGTATCATGGACAATTTTTTTGCTAAAATTAACCCAATTTGAGAAAACTGGATCAATAGGTAAAACTTTTATTTCGATGGGAAATCTGATAATTAATTTCCATTTTCGAAATTAAAAGTCGACCAAGTTTTTCGTGAACTTTACAATTTTGCTGTTCGATAGTGGAATTTTCTTCCTTTAAGCAAAAGAAATGCACTGAACTTGAAAAGAAATCACAAGTCAAACTGCGAAAAATCAAAATCGAACTTTTAAGACTTTTTCCGGAAAAAAAATCAGCAAGACCTATATTAGTCTTCACAACGTTAATTACTCTTAATAACATAGCTACGCTTACCTCATCAATGTCCAAAACTTTCGATGTATTCAGCGCTATTTAGAGACCAAACGGATACTGAGCTTCTAAAAAATCGTTGAAAACAAAATTTAATAACTACGAAAAATCATCAAATGATCACAAATCAAACAATTAAATCAAAAACAACCACAAATTTGCGGGCTGAACATTGCCATCAAGTTTTCTTGTCCTCCTCGATAAATTTCCACCTTGTATTTCAGTTGCTAGTCGTATCCGTGGTGACGTCATACTGAAAGATGCCTAAGAGCTGGAGTTGGTGAGTTTGTACTTGAGCACCCTGCATATGTTGTCCAGAGTGGTAGTCTGCTGTGTGACCATACCCTTAACCTGACTCAGAAGCACTTCTGTCACTGTGTGCAACACATACTCCCTCTTCAAACTCAAGTACTGCTCCAGGCTCAATTCATCATACTCTGATTAACAAAACCATTCATACAATTTAGACTACATTTTTACAGCTCTCATCTTAATGTCTTGAAAAAACAAAAATCAATTTTTAGAATCGAATTAGTTCACACAGAGGCGAAACAGAGCTTCGCATCACTTGCGATACCTCAAAAATAGCTTCGCCAGCTAGGAGAGAGGAAAAAGGATGCAACTAAATCCAAAAAAAAACGGAAACATTTTCGAAGAAACCACAACCAAGAAAAATTTGCCAGGAGTGATGCTCTATTTGCGGAAAACACGGCCAGAAACACAGTCGACGACCTTTAATGAAAATTCAAAAACTATCTTCGAATGAAAAAAATGTTGTTAAGGTAAACTTTGAATTATAAAATCTATTCTGAGGTTTTTGACGCTTAGCGCGATCCGAAGGAAAGCATACAAATTATGGTCCCCTGGAACGACCAAAAACTATGTTAGTAAGCCGATAAAATATAAGCGAAATCATTTAGGCTGAAGAATTATTTGAGCAAAAAAAGGAAAATACACGAAGTCAAGGTTAGTGAATTACAAATTGCAGGAATAAATGAAAACATAAAAAGCAACTACAATGAAAATTGCATACAGCAAAAAATTCCAAGGTGTGGCAACTAAGTCGACTAAACATAAACAGCCAAAAAACGAGACTAATTTTTTTTTTGAAATGGAATACTTCCCGTATAAAAAAAACAGGTCCTGGTCAGATTCGAACACAGGACCTTTGCCGTCCCAGACTAAGTGTGCGAGGAAATTTGAATTCATTATGAACCAAGATACCAGGTGATTCCAGTGATTCTGTTAAGCAAGCTGTTAACCCGAAAAAAGTCTAAATTCCGATTTGATAACGCTAGCTAATAGCAAACGTAATGATATTCGCATAGTTATAATAGGCACAAAGCTATGATTTAGTAAGAATTCATATGTGCAAAATGAAAATATAGCCAACAGGCGGTTCAGAACTAGTAAACGAACGCAAGTAAACAAAAAAAAGATCAATAAGTAAAATTTGTATTTCACTGGAAAATCTGAATCTTAAATTCCACTTTCGAAATTGAAAGTCGATCACGTTTTTCTTGATCTTCACACTTTAGCTGTTCGATGGGTGAGTTCGTCTTATTTAAAAAAAAATGAAATGAACTGAGCTGAAGAAATCAAAGGTCAAGCCGCGAAAATCAAATTTGAGCCCGAACAAATTTTGAAGACTTTTCTGAATTAATCATCACGACCTATATAAGAGTCCTTGTTTTTAGTGGTAAAGGAACGTTATAGGTGATTGTTTTTTCAGCAGATGAGTTCAATACTTTTTTCTAGTTAGTACGGGAAGGTTACATAAGATTTTTTTTTGCATAACATTAGTTTCGAAAAACAATCGTAATACTCAAGTCAGAAACTCAGCCAAATATTATATGACTTTGTACATTTAAAATTGAGTTCGGCTGGGGAAAAAAATTTAAAAAAGAATGAGCAAGTCGCGTGGCATCTCCTTATTATTCAAATTAAGATGTTAACCTGGCTGTCCCATTTGCACAAATGGACAAGATGGCATCCTCTTCTCGTGCTCCCTTCTCGGCTCGTCCTCCTTCTCCCACTCCAAATCCTTCCCGCAGAACACACACTTGGCAGAATCCTTCCCACTGTACACAAAGCCAGCACTGGCCAGTGCCTTTGCACTACACATATCCTGTCAATTATCAAAGCCACTCATCATCACTGAAACCCTTCTTTTCAGCTCCTTAGGATGTAACAATAATAAATGTACTAATAAATGTAGCGAGCTTGCCAACAGAGGGTAGGACTTAATACGAAATTTAGAGCGGTTATCCGGCGACCTTAAACCGGACTGTTTTGTATTGGACTGTTTTTTTCCTCCATTACATGATTTTTGGGACTATTTTGTATTGGACTGTTTTGTATTGGACTGTTTTGTATATGCACCTAATTTTCATTTGTCTCTAATTAACTAATAAATGTAATATGTATTATTTTACCATGAACTTGTCAAAAGAACTCAACCATGGTAATTATAAAAACCATGCATCAGCTGCGCAAGAAGGCCACAAAAGTAGAAATTAAATATCTAGAAGAAAAATTGGACCAAATCGGGTGTCCTTGCAAAAATTGTCCTGGCTCATATCCTGGATCTGTTCATTTAATAACTTACCTTGTTGAAGCGCCATCGTTTGAAAGTTTTCACTCTGCCGGACGCTTCCAGCAAATCAGCTCCTTCTATCAGACTCTTTTCTCCATCGGCTACTTTCTTTTTAGTATTCCGCATACTACCTTGAACTTCTGCGGCAGAGTAATAACTACAAATTAAACTGAAAATATTAAACTATCAGCAGCAAAGTTTAATAAACATAGTCAACAGACGGTCGGATAAATAAACTGAAATGACGCAATCTTTTAGCTGATTTTTCCAACAGCTGCCACAATACGATTGCAACTAAAATCCGAATGCTTAGTTAAATCTATCACATTGGAAATGAAACATCTGAATTTTGATCACACGGGCCGAAAATTTCATATTGAAAACCTCGCTCGAAGATGAATGTTTCGTCAACCGATAGATTTTGACCTCAAAACTTTACAGAGAGGCGGTACAAAAACACAGAAAACCGCTACGTAAAAAATAGATTCTGCATGAAAAATCTCGCCACCTGTTTCCTCGACTGAACACTCGATCTCGGATTTGGCAGGGTAGTTAGAAAAGTCTAAGTTTCCAAAAAACGGTCCCAAAAATAAACAAATGTGACTTTTCCGTAGCCTTTAGCTTTTTTCTACCCAAATAAAGGCGTACCAGCTATCCAGTGAAAAATTCCGAAATCTGTTACTCCAATTGAACCATTAATATTGAAATTGGTAGAGTGATTTTTTGAGAACAGTCGATTGAAGTTTCCAAAAAACAACAAAAAACTCAAATAAATTTGGTTTTTCAGAGAAACAAAACTAATTTTCTACAAAATGGGAAAGTAGCCGCTTGCACCGGTAGGATTCCCATTAGCTATTTTCTCGATTGAACCCTTACTTCAAGCTAAGAGGGTTCATACAATTCAAACTACAATTTCACAGCTCTCATCTTAATGCCTTGAAAATTCAAAAATCAATTTTTCATGCTTATCAGAATCGCCCTCCTCTACGCACTGTCCTTGCTATACAACATCTTTCAAATGCTTCGATTTGGTTTGTTATCGCACACGTGGAAACAATTCGTGAGGCTCACTAACTAATTATTTGCGCGTCAAGCCATCACTTGCTTTCGCAATTACTCAGAATAGAATGCTTCATTGCGGAGCTTATGAAAGTTCGGTACCATCACCCACTCTTTATAATATACACGTTCATGACGCCCCTCCCCCACCAGTGTTAACCTCTTCTCATATGCGGACGACTTGCATCCTTTCTCCTGAAGCTCTGATATCGAGAAGCATCTTTCTTTTACTTCTGGGAAACTAAATTTTGCCTCTAAAGGATCAGTAACAATGTTAATTCCACAGCAAAGACTCATAGAGCACCCAAAAAAATTATTTTTAAAAAATTAGCCTCGCTGAGCAATTGCTGAGCGAAAGTCTCAAAACGTTAGGCGTAAATTTTGACCGAACTCTTGGTTTTGCAAATCACTGCAAACATTCGGCGCATTCTGCAAATCACTGCGCAAGATATGATTCCTTCTCGAAGCCTTAGCATGTTACACCTGTGGCTAAACCAAATAAACTACTTCTAACTTAAAAAGCTTGAAAACTTAAGACACAGAAATGATTTCGTTTGATAGTTCTACACGAAAAAAAAAACTTTAAAATGTACATAACGAAAACTCGAGATAACTTGATCTCTAATAAAAAAACCACTAATTCTTCGAGTGGCAAGAAGTTTGGTAACTAGCAACGGTTACCAAAAGAAATGAAATAAATTTCCTGAAAAACTGATCACCGGTTTGAAAGATTGAATGAGAAAATAATACTGAACTTCAGAGCTTTGTGAACTTGACAAAAACTTTTAAAAACTAAGTAAAAGCATAAAATAATAAGGTTAACCGGTTGTCAATCAAGCCAAAAAAAGACAAACTAAAAAAACGAAAATTTAACAAATCGAGTGGTAAAATTACAACCAACGTTAAAAATTAACCATCGAGTGGTAAAAATTAAATTTGGCTCTCGAAACTAGAAGTCGATCACGTTTTTCATGACCTTTACACTTTAGCTGTACGATAAATGAGTTTGCCTTCCTTTTAACGAAATAAATTGAGCTAAGAAATCATAAGTCAAACAGCGAAAAAGTGAATTTGAGCCTGAACAAATTTTCAAACTCTTCTTGACTAAAAGAAAAAATCATCGCCATCTATATAAGAGTATGCATTACGTTCATCGACTCTTAATGAACTTTTTCTTTAAGCGCTCAAACTGGATTTGGGCAGCACGTGTAATTGAGAAAACAATATGACAAAACACCTCGTCAACAAACTCCTTCCTAGAGTAGGCAAAGTTTCAACGAACTCAAGGAAAACGATTACAAAAAACTAGCGTTTAACGCACCTCCGGTGCTTCGAAATTTTTCGACAACTCATGAAAAACCGCATATAATGCAAACAACATCTGCAAACTTTTAGTGTGCTCTGACAATTACAGGGTTGGTAATTTCGAACATTTTAATTTTTTTAAAATTCCCATTTTAAAAGCGTCATCTCGAAAACTTAATGGGCCTCTGGAGAAATTTGGAGGCCAGATTTGCAACCACTGAGAGCACCCTACTATAGGGTTAGGAATTCAAAAATTTGTGAATTTTTTTAAACCCAAGTTTCACGAAAAAAATTTAAAAAACTTCTTATCTCGGAAACTAAAAGGATTTGAGCATTCTTATTTTAAAGGTAAGATTTGAGACGCCAGGTGTACGCTGACAAAAAGTTTGTATCTTAATCGAGTTAGTAGTTTCAAATTTTCGAAAAAAATTTCAAAAAAACGTCACATTTCGAAAACTAAAAGCATTTGAGCAGTCGCATTTAGCAGTCGCATGTGTCAAGATTTCCAACTCTTAACAGTACCCTGACAACACCGGACTATAGCGTTGGGAATTTCAAAATTTGAAAAATAATTAATTAAAACTTTCGGAAAAATTTTGAAAAAATAACAAAAAACGTCATATCTCGAAAACTACAAGGTTTTGAGCAGTCATATTTGGAGGCAAGATCCGCAATGATTGATAGTACTCTGACAGTACCCATCTACAGGGTTGGGAGTTTCAGTTTTTTTTAAATATTAATAATATAAGTTTTTTGAAAATTTTTAAAATCACAAAAAACGTCATATCTCGAAAACTACAAGGATTTGAGCAGTCATATTTGGAGGCAAGACTCGCAATCTTTGACAGTACTCTGACAATACCCAACTACAGGGTTGAGAACTTCAAGTTTTGTAAATTATTGTTATTTGAAATTTCTGAAAAGTTTTGAAAAAATCTCAAAAATCGTCTTATCTCGTTAACTAAAATGATTCAGGCATGCAAAATTGGAGGCCAAATTCGCAACCCCTAATTCGATATTGGGCTGCTTAAATTAAACTCCAATGCGTAAAATAACCGCTAAAATCAAATTGGAAAATCGAAAAAAATTCTTAACCATTGCAATATACGAGATGCAAAGCTTAAACATGCAAAAATAATACGTTGAAAAAGCTTGAACATGGCGAGATAGTGAAGCCCGCATTTAAATATATAATAGATTGGCTTATTAGGTTTCCGAGAAAAATTACAAAATACCTATATTACACATAAAACTAATCCAAAAAAAAACAAGAATATCCGTTTACTGGGCAGGTAGCACAGAATGTTCTAACCATAATCTTACAAAAAAAATGAGTTTCTTTTTCAAATTAGTGTCGTTTTTTCCTGAGTGGTGTGGTAGTAATATCTAACAAAACATAGAAATTAGGTATATTCGACAGTAACAGACAAATAGGCCAACTGAAAAACAGTTTTTGTTGAAAAAAAAGTTAGAAAACAAAAAACGAACCGTTGAAACAAATTTTAAAAAAAAATTGTACTTTTTGAGTCCCAAAATGACGCTTAAAACTTCGAAAACTAACTTTACCAGAGTAAAAACTAATTTTTCACTGCTTAAATTAAGCTGAAACTAGCTAAATTTAGCCTGCACGCTCACCTTATTTGCTCAAAATTAGACCGAAAACTTCAAACCTGTTTTTCTCGCCACTGAGAACATGTTTCAAATTTTTTTATAAGTAATTCGAATTCAGACTTAAAGGACTTCAATATGTTTAAGTTGACCCATTCCATGTTTAATTGTGGTACATGCGTTTGCATGGAAAACCAAAAGAAAAATTTAAAACACACCCGAATACAAAGTTTCTCCCCATTTTCTATGGTCGGAACAAAAAATACACGCACCGCCTAAATAGTATCCACGAGTGCCATATATGTACCGAATGCGAGGTGGTATACACAATTCGGAAACTAAACCGGGAGCATACTCGACAACCATAAAGCCGGAAAAACATAAGCAAAAATCGGGAGGAAATCTTAGTACCCGATTGCAAGACCCTGACTTATCGCAAAAAAAATGATAATTGCTGATTTTTTTTTGAACAGAGACGAAGCTGCGCTACACACTTGCGATACAAAATAAGAAAGCCACTAAGTCAGAAACAAGAAAAAAAATCAAAAATATGAAGATCTATTACAACAAATCAGGCTAGTTTTGAAACAAAAACATGTTGTGAATAAGCATAAGAAGAAAATTTTCCAAGCGGTAACAAATCCGAAAAAACTACGCCGAAACACTTGAAGCCGAAAAAAAAATCAAGACTTAGGACTTATATAAAAAGATAAAAAGTCCCACTCACCCTCAAAACACACACACAAAGCTTTATCTGATCGTCAAATGAAACAATATGAGGCCACTAAGCCGGATAAAATATAGGCCGAAACCTATTAAACCGAAAAAAAAAACAAAAAAAAATTAAGACTAAGAAAAAAGTTATTAAGTCCACCTCAACCTCAAAACTTAAGCACACACACATACAAACCTTTTTAACTCGTCAAAAAACACAATATGAGGCGACTAAGCCGATTTAATATAGGTTGAAACCTATCAGGCTGAAAAAAGGGAAAAAAGCCAAAAAAAATATTTTCGCCTTGAAAAATTATAATTTCCATTAAGATTTTAGCATTTTGTGCAATCCACGAGGGCGGGGTCCATAAAAACAATGTTTTTCTTGAAACTACTCAAAATTAGGTCACTAAGCTGACACAACAAAAGCCGACATCATTTGGGCAGAATAAAGTTGTTAAGCGAAAAAAAAAACAAATATACGGAGTCAAGGTTAATTATAATTAAAGTTCAAACAGCCAAAGTTAATGCAAACAATGAAAGCCACTACGATTTAACTTGCTTGCAGTAAACAAACAATTCTACGATGTGGCAATTAAGCCGACAAGTGTTCCGGAGACGCAGAGAAAATTGAATATTTAATGAACTGAACCTAAACTTATCATTTCTAATTTTGACCATTCCGTGAACAAGTTATTTACGGGGAAAAACTAATACCCGATTGCAATACCCTTGCTCGTCACAAGAGTGACAAAACAAAAAAAAGTCTCGAAAGATCATATTTGAGAGTGAGCAAATTTGAAGACTTTCCTGAAAAAAAAACCCTTTATAAGTGTCTTCACGTTCATTAACACTTAGAAAACTCTAAAAACGGAGATCAAATTATCTAACGGAGACAAACAGAAAAAAAAATCGCAACTTTGTTTTTGTACAGCGAGGATTGATCTCAGCTCTGACAATGAACATGAATAAAGCTTCAAAAGAATCAGCTGTCAAGACTCGAAAGTGGAAAAAATGACGTGAAAACATCGCCTTTCACCGAAACAAGCACAAGCTATTTGAAACGTTTTAGCTGAATTTTTTCTCTGAAAAATGGTTTGTAGCATCATTTATTACATTTTGTTTAATAGCAATTTATTTCCAGTATTGAAATATAATTTACACAATAATATGCATTAGGTTAGTTCTTTCACATTTAAGCAATAAATGACAAGCAATCTATTCTACAAAATTAACAGGCTTTTTTTCATTACAGCCCTCCTCAGCCTAGCAAAAAAACATAGCCCAGTCACACTGATTTTTCAGTTAAAGTGTTTCATTTGGGGGAAGGGACTATAATTGAGAAGACCTGATTACTTTTATACAACTTTAAAATTGAGATGATTTCACAAGGAAGCTTAATTCTAAGTCAATCTAATTGACATCACACAACACAGCAAAGACTAATCGCACAAAGCCACTGATGAAATAATAATAAAGAATGTAAAATCCTGTTAGAGAAAAAAAAACGAAGCACACTTCAGAGAATATTGATTACGTGAAATCTTACATTTGGTCACATTGTGCAATTCATTTTATCATCATTAAATTCTATTTTAAGCCAATGAATAGAACATGCATCAAAGCATGCGAAAGAAAAATATAGATAGTTTCGATGATTGAACACAATTAAACATCTATTTTGAAGAAACAACTCCAAAAAAGCTCATGCGTCATCTAGACTTAGTAACATATATATTGTACAACGCAAAAAAAGAATTGAAAGCTTTCAGGTCCAATTTCCTAGATCGTTGAAAAGTATTTTGAATTCGAAGGTAGAAATTTAATTTTAAATGTTCAAACACATTTAACGCGGTGTACAATAAATTTGTTAACAACCATCTGTTTCATTTAATCATTAATTGTAGAAGTAGAATAGGATGAGATTCAGTCATTTACAGGCCATTTTGGTCCGTTTGTGTATGTTCAAGTCTATCTGGGGTGTCCCCCACACAGAGCTACTAGAGCCTTCCTGTAGTCCCCACTGACGTCCTCCTCAATCCATTTCTCAAGGGGCTTCCTATATCTTTGCTGGAAGCACTGCTTCACCTGAAGAACAAACACACAATACCATTAACTGATACTAAGTAAGCAATCCAACACGAACACAAGCGCACAGAATTCATTTAAAAACAGAATGATATCAACCGCACTATCAAGTACAAAAATTATGGAGTTTTGTATGTATTTGGATTTACAGAACCGCGTATTCATACTCGTCAGTAAGCAGACAAAAACTATTTTAACCGATCTGAGTCGAGATGAAAAAGCGGTTTTACGAAATACATAATTATCAGGCCCCGGATTTTAGTTAAGTAAAAAACACCATTTTATTTAACTAAATACTTCCTTAAGAACATCGAATTTGGTGAGAAAAAAACGATTAAAACTCGCGTTTTTACAAAACTTTGATGCAGTAACAGCAACAAAAATCATTTTCAACAAATTTTCTGTTAAAAAATGTAGCGAGTCGGAAAGAAAACCCGTACATTTCATTAGTGGCAGCATTTACCGGGAAAATTTCAAATTTTCAGTTCTGTAATTTACAGCATTTAACCAACACCCCACCATGTAATCACAGGCCTATGTAAAGATATCAACGTTGGCGTATAAGTTTTGAAAGTCTGTCGGTTTTCTGGAGAAATTCAACAGAAATAGTTGAAATAAAGCGGATTTGGTGAACTCCCATGGGCCAGCACAATAGTGCCGAAAATCAAAATCTTGTTCAACAGAGCAAAAAATTATTTTGAATACTGTTTTTACTCATCTCAAATCACACTGACAAGTAACTATATACAAATTGAGTCAAGTTGAAAAGACGAAAATGGGCTTTTTAATTGACGCCGTTTGATAAACAAACAAAAATTTTCCAAGAGCGGCGTCCTAAAAATTTTACGAACAAACAATGAACCCAGCAAATTATCAAGTTTTCTTCTCGGTTTCGCTACAAAACAAAGGTTTTCACACAAAACTGCTAACAAATCAGTTTGAAACTTTAAGATATCAATATTTTTCGGCAACGGAACATATTTTCAATTTCAGCGCTGTTGTAATTAGGCACTGTTGAACGCCCTCATAGGTCGCAACATTCATAGCACCGAAAATTAAAAAAATCAGTCGCATGTGTCCCAAAATCTATCTTCGTGAATTCTGATTGGTTGAAATTTGCGCCAATAAACATGGACTGATTGTTTAGCGTTCAAGCAGCATAAACTCAAGCTGCAGAATAGCGACCACCGCAGTTGCGCCAACATGTTGCGAGCTTGCCAACAGAAGGTAGGATTTTATACGAAATTTAAAGCAGGTTATCTTTAAGCCGGCAGCTTTAAACCGAGACTCGGCTAAATTAGTTTTTGACAAATTGAAAAGATTTGGGACTTATTCGACTGTTTTTATTTTGGTATCTATGAGACTGCTTTTCTTTTTGGGATCTATGAATACACACCGCACATCTCTTCGATTAGCTCATTTCCTCTATTTTCTCGGAAATAGTTAGTTGACAGAGATAAATAAGTTTTTATAACTAAAAATCGTGGCCTCTGATGATAATTACTAACTTCTTCCTTGTCTCGATTCTGATTGGTTAATGTAGTATTAGTCTATTTACTGACGAGCATGAATACGCGGTTGTCTAAATACTGCTACATAACCAAAAACTATCAAGCAGAATGAGAACGAACTTAATAACAAGGTCAATGAAATAACTTAAAAATACATCAGAAAATCGAAATTTCAAGTTGCACGAGATCAATTTGATTGCAGTTCTTGATAACATTTGACAATAACGACTCTGTGACGTACTTAGAGTGGCGTGACACGGAGCCGAAAACCCGAAAAAAATTCAATCCCGGATAACAGAAAAGTAAATTTGTTCCGGATAGCCGAAGAATAAATTTGTTCCCGGATGGTCAAAAATTAAATTCATTCCTGGATAGCCGAAAAATAAATCCGTTCCGGGATAGCCGAAAAATAAATTTGTCGAATTTTTTTTGTTACCTTGGATAGCTTTTGAGGATCAACCGTACAGTGCCCCTCCCCCCAAATCGATTTAGGGGTACAAGTAGAAATAATAGATTTTTCATAAGCTAACTTTGAGTATAGCCAAGATTCGTTCAAAATTAACAGCATATTTTAAACAGAATTAATTTTCAGAATTAATACATGCTTGGGGAGGGCATTCTAGGGTAGCTCACTTAAGGGGGGAATTGTACGGTTGATCCGCCGTTGAATATTTAAATAACCATATTACAGATTACAAATATACTATATAACCGACAAATACAAATCCACAGTTTTTTCTCATTGTTTTCTTACTTAGGGTACCCTCTCCCTCAACTTACCCTTCCCACTTAGTCCCCCTTACACGCATTGCCTCCTCCCCCATCTCCTTATATCCCTACAGGGGGTAATTTCAGAGGTGTTGAGGCTTGGGGGAGTGTAGTTGGAGGGGAGGGCGGGGTGTATGGGATTGGTTGCTTAAGTGCGGTGTGGTCTCAAAGTGTACTTATAGTCGATTATTATGACAATATTTTTGACCACGAAAATCGATTACTATCCATGGAAAAAATAAAGTTCGAAAAAGTCTTACGCTAAAATAGCCGAGTTTTTGTTAGCTAACAGGCTGCAAAATTTGAGGCATTTTTTGTTCAATCAAAATCAGTCTCAATTTAGTTACAAATTTGCTCTTTTTTAATTTAATTAAAACCGAAGGTATTTAGTTTTTTCGACTATCCTATCCGGAATGCGGCTCCGTGGGTACTCGTCGTACTTAGTTGCATAACAAACACGACATCGCCAAATAAACAGAAATCAAACTACCGTTGGCACATGATAGAAAAAAAACAGTGATTGAAGAACACTCACCTGTACCATATCCTTCTCGCATCTGGACACCACCAACCGAGTGAGTGTGTCCTCGTCAGTGCCCATACCAGCCATGGAGTCATGCAGTCGCACTGCGAAGAAGTCCGGCTTGTTCTTGGCACAGTGAGCAATCACACGCATCGCACGCTCAAAATTGGCCGACAACTCACCCTTCAGCACTGTTTCTATGTCCTACACAACAAACATACCTTTACGCTCAAAAAATATAAAACTCATATCGTAAAATCGTACAAAGGGGAGCAACTTATACAGCAATGGCGACAAATATATAAAAAACGTTTCCAACAAGAATAAATACACTGACCTTATGGTAAAGTTTTTGGTACTCTTGAAACATGAGGTTCAGTTGAGGCCAGCTTCGAGTCGCGAATATCCGACGGAAAGTTTCCTCATCAGTGCCCAGTTTCTTCTCTCCTGCCGTGTAGATGGCCTGGGCATCAGCAGTCGCTTTTCCTTGGTCTAGCGGAGTACTATCCGGATCCCTACACGCGTTCTGCATCTGGTTCATGAGTCGCTTGTAGTCTCCGCTAGTATCACTATTAATATCAGCCTCCATTTCGCGCTTGAACAAGGTCTTGTAAGATGCCTTGGCTGCATTTAGCTCTTCGTTTGTTCGCGAGCACAGGATCTCAATCAGGGCGTCGTCGTTAGTTCCTAGACCTTTGATTGCCCTCCTAATGCATTCTGCATCGTAGTCGGCACTAGGCATCATTACAGCAAGAATAACTCGTTCGAAATTCCCACTGAGCTCCGACTTCAGGTCTTTGATCAGGTCTCGTCCAAAGCATTGCTTGAAAGACAGCTTGATCTGCTGTCTTTGCTCATTAGTTCGTCGACACAGAATGCCGATTAGTTCACTTTCGTTCGTACCCAAACCTTTCATTGCCTGTCGCAACCCTTGTGCATCTTTCTCTTTGTCAAATGGGCTGAATGGCTTTACTGTGCCTTCGTACTTCGGTATTTGAGTTCCTCCTCCCGGCGATGAGTTCAACGACATAGCTGCAATTTGCTGAACAGGTGGCTGCGGTTTTGACCCAGGCGGCGCGCCGCCGTACGGATTTGCAGGAGCTTGTTGTGGAGGAGGAAAACCTCCGGCTGCTTGTGGAGGGGGTTGCGGGTACCCACCTGCGTGACCGACATAGCCCCCTTGCGCCTGGGGAGGGTATCCGCCTTGCTGTCCATAAGCACCCCCTGCAGGTGGAGGGTATCCTGAAGGAGGGTATCCTCCTTGTGGAGGGTAACCTCCTTGGGGCGGGTATCCTCCTTGTGGCGGGTATCCACCCGACTGCTGAGGTGGGTATCCCTGATGCTGAGGGGGATAGCCACCTGGCTGCTGTGGAGGGTAGCCTCCTTGGGGAGGGTATCCTGGCTGTCCCTGGGGCGGATACCCACCCGGCTGACCTTGAGGGGGGTATCCCGGCTGCCCCTGAGGAGGGTATCCTGGTTGCCCTTGAGGCGGGTACCCTGGTTGTGGCGCGTAACCTGGTTGAGGGGGGTATCCAGGCTGAGGGGGATATCCCGGGGCACCCCCTGGTGGGGGATAACCTCCAGGCGGGGGAGCGTTGAATCCGATACCTCCTTGTCCGTACATATTAACTCAACCTGATCTGAAGAGACAACTCTTTTGAATGATCTATGATCCGAATCCGAATAGAGATTAGTATTGCAAATAGTGTAGTATTTGCTCTAACAGCCTGTTGTTCAGACTTGAAGTGAGTAAACAGCAAACTAGTTTCTTTTGAGATAAAAGAACAAATGACCGCTCGTTTTTAGATGTTTAATCAATACTACTTTCGTCACACTCAAAACCGCCAGAATATTTGCATATTATGACGTAAGCTCGCTTACATATAAAGAAGAACAAACCAAAATTCTAAGAATGGATAGGTAATGTCATGAAAAAATGAGGTAACTAAAAATGTTTTAACAAATAAATGATAGTCCTTTTTAAGCGCAAGTAGATGTACATTTGACAGTTCCCTACCTCATTTGTTCCCATCAAATATAAAACATCAATTAACAAACTAATAGCCAGTTAATTTAAGCAAGTTGTACATTGAACAGGCCCAAGAAAACTAGACGAAAATCAAATAGGGCGTGACAACAAAAACGAATTCAGGCGTCGATGAAAAATTAAAATATTAGGAAATAAGACTAAATGAGCTGTTATCGCGTCTGAAATTTAATATGAGACAGGGGCTGTTCTCATGCCTGAAAGTTCTCAACCGATCAAGGTCCTTTAAACTGTTCAAAATGACGGCATTCATCGCTTATTTCCTTCAAATTTATGAAAACTGATATGCTGGCAAATTTTCGCCGCGCATTCCTTCCTTCGCGCATAAGGGATTACCCGTTTACCGACTACAAATAACTTTCATTTTCGAGTATAAACTGCCGAAATCAGAAAAAAAACTGATGCTTTGAAGAAAAACTAAGCTTTACAAAGAAAGGCGAACCAAAATTAGTAGATGATATTCCACAGATCAAAGAAAAACACGGTTCGAACAGGACTCGAACCTTCAGACCTTTTTTAACCATTTTTTATAACTTTTTCTCTCTCAATTGAGAAAGGGCCTGAAAAACGTTGCAGTTCCGAAAAAAATCAGGTTGATTTCTTAGATTTGAAAGAGAAGAAATTTACGAGACAAACAAAATACAAGCACACTTGCTCTCGCAAAGGAAATAACAGCTCGAAAGGATAAACTTCGGTAAAATAGAGAGCTTCGAATCACTACATGCATTTTGGTAAATAACAAAAACTTTTAGAAAACTTCTGAGATTATTCGAACGCATTTTTGGTGTTTTTTTTTCAAAAATTTGCCTGAGGCGCAACAAATTTGGAAAACCCCCCTCCTCGAGAAAATGCTAGATCCGCCCCTGTTCAACACTTTTTCTTTCAAATCTATTTACCCTAATTTTTAATATAAACTTATTAAGTAAAACGCAAAAAAGTGAACAAATAAACATGAACAGAAATGAGGTTGCAGATGTAGAAAGTTGCAAAAAGTTGTAGGACGAGAATGACTGTGCTGTTGGTTGTCATTCCTGCTCATCCCGGTATAATGGGACCTCTGTGATTCTGACTCTTGAGGATGTAAATTGGATTGGACAACGATCAATTCGCCTATGGGTTAGCGATGAATACCGTGAAGCTGGTAGTACTTCAAATCCAGGGCTGTTCAAAAATCAATTGCGATTGCAATCATGCATGATTTTTGGCAACAATTAATTGATTTTTTTAACATAGTTAATTGCAATGATTGATTGAAGAGGCTGCAGTCATTGCAATGACGCACAGCTGAACTGGTGCGAACACGTATTGTTTGCTTTGGATGATGTTATGTTCTGCCAAGTATGCCCATGGTGATTTGCGACAGAGCCTTCTGCCATCAAACCTGGAGATGTAGCTCTTTTTGCGCATCAACAACAAATTTTGGGATGACAAACTCGTGTCGAGAATCTGCGCGTCAGTGCCAGAGCAATAGTTTTTCTTTCTTTCTTTCTTACTTTATAGTATACTTTAGTTGCAATTGATTGCAATGATTGTAAAGTTGGGCAATGATTGATTGTAAAATCTCATATCATTGTAATGATTGATTGCTACTGAATTAATTGATTGTTAGAGTTGCAATTGATTTTTGAACAGCCCTGTTCAAATCGCTTGGAACCGAAGCTAAGTTTGCATCGTCAATTGCAAAAAAAACACATCTCAACAAAAATACTAAGCTACTGCAAAGAAGACTACGGCTACTTGTACAGCGAAAATAAAGGTGGCCAGTCAATAAGCAGAATATTCTGAGAGCAGAATGGGTCCAAGAGCAGAAAAACAAAAAATATCAACTTTTATAAGCTAATCGGTAAATTAATTATCAGAAATGTCAATAATACCAAAGCAACAAACATTTTATGCATAATTTGAGTAATTTAATCAAGAATTTAGAAAAAAAAATTAATAAAAAAAACAATGAGATTAGTCAATTCATTCATAATTTATTCGTTTTCTTGGTATTTCTTGACGCTTCTAAGCATTGTTTTATCAATTAGCCCGTATAAACCAATATAGGTCAATATTTATTCTGTTTTTTGCTCTTGGACCCATTCTATACTAAAACCATTCTGCTTATTTCTCCGCCTCCGAAATGAAAACATAACTCAAGAAAAACACTAAGACACTGTTAAGGTGACAACGACCACTTCAACAGCCTTATTACCGGCAAAGCGTTCTCAAGTGTATGTTGGTCAAATGTAATGATACGAAGTACCAGCACCATAACACAGAAACTTGGAAAATATGATCTGCAGTCAAAACTAACTTTATTGGGATAACATCGCTGGCCTTGAGCCGAAACCAAAATAATAATAATCATAATATTAATAATAATAATAATAACAATAATCCTTCTCGGTGGACTGCACTCCTGGCTCAATGCCCATCAAATTCTTAGAGTTCCGTGAGAACATGGCATCGCAGCTCTCTACCACCCTGAGTTACACTAACATCGAATCTACTCAAACCACTCAACAATGCTTACTGAAATAGACACTAACAAAGACAAGTAGAAAATAATATCTGTTCACGGTGCCCTAGAAAATGACAAGCTAGTTTACGAGACAAAACTATCGAACAGTAAGAATACTTTGCACCTGTTCAACCAATACCGTTCACTCATCAAAGCACATTTACCGACAGCTCAAAAATACGGTGACAAAATTGCCATTGTTCATCGCTACCAACCTGTAACATGGACAACACGATCGCCTCATGACTTTTACACTTCAGAAAATACAAAAAAGACTATGTGAAAGCTTATATCTAAAAAAAAGCTATGGGACCGGACGAAATCCCTATCTCACTTTTCAAAAGCTGTTCGAAGCAATAATCAATCCTACTTAACTACAAAAAGAGTGACAAATCGGCGGTGAAGAAATATTGACCAGTATCATTACTTCCGATAAATTCCAAAATTATGATCGATGCATCTTTCAAAACTGTAACATTCGCCCGGAAGTACATATCGACGGAAAATAAAGCTAGGTTTGTAAGATTCGCCCGGAAGATACATATCGACGGATAACAAAACTAAGTCTTAAGACGGCTGGCTAGCGTCTAAACAGAGCTTTGCATGTTTTTCACCGTCTCTACCAAGCCAGTACTTTTCGGTGGTCTTTCTTACATCAGGCTGACAAAAACGTTACTGTTCTCCGGCTTCGACCAGAACGCTCAAATTAACTGAATTACATGCAAAGTTAGTGAGCTCATGGCTGGGTCTCAGTATCCCCAGACCACGAGGTCACTCCTAAAAACAGGGCTACTACTTATCATATTACTATTGTTTTTGTTCAGTAGATAAAAATCATCATCTCCATCGAAGATGGATCAACCCTTTCCCCCAACTCCTAGCACCTCATCCTTGTCAAAACTAATCAAAATATCAGTTAAATTCAAGTCAGGACATGACAGGATGCTAAAATTCAATACAAGTTCATAAAAGTTCCCGTCCCGAGACCCTTCCGGATTCTTGAATCCGGCGAATCAAGCTCCTTAACCTCAGGTTCACGCTAACTCGGAGGGCTGGTCTTTACCCTTCACCGTTGTTCGCAACGGCCTTGCAACTATTGTAACAGCACAATAGTTGCAACTCGGAACGTCCTCTGCTGTTCGGTAGTTCGTTGTTGTCTTTTAGTCTCGATTTTCGTACTGTTCGTAATCGCAGATAAAGTTGTTCTGTTTCTTTCTGCTCTTTTAGCTAAAATGGCCGTCTCTGACGTTTCTCAGAAATATGACGTCATAATTCGAATTTTTAAAAATTAGAATTCCAGAATCTTCTAGCCTTCACCGTTTGGCCAATCGTTCAAATAACGTCCTTATCCGTTCTAAATCGCCAATTCGGAAGGCTTGCTGCTAAAATACCGAATTCTGCAGAGACTGCATTTTGGCCATTCTGGTCGAATGTCACATACTCCCCGGACAGTCCGGTCAATGTCCTCATTGAATCGCGCAATGTTCATAAAATGGTTACCGTGCCATCGAACAGAATTTACAAAATGCACGGAATTACTTTTATCCACGTCATATCAACTCACTGCAGAATATAAATGGCATCATACTACATCACTATAGCCTTCAAATTCTTTCATTAATCTGCACATTGAGAATATAACCTAAGATAAAACATGTTTTCTGACTTCCAGTGTCTATGTCCCGACTAAAACTTTTTCTCCTAGATTCAAAAAGTGTTGGCTTGCAGGACAGTCCTGCCAACCAACAAGCTAAAATTATCCTACTATGCTCCTTCCCTTCGGAAATCTTGCTTGTTTATTGTCCTGAATATTAAAACTAAGAAACTTTGTGGTTAGAAAGAACAATGCACCAACCTCCTTCTTCAGGAGGTTACTCAAGTCCTTCATATCACCACAAAGTGATCAGTTTTCCTAAGTGATTAAAAACAATCATGCAGGCTGGAACATTTAAATATACTCTTCCCTCAAGCCTTTCTAAATAAATAATAAGTGAGTGTCTCTAAAGCCACTTCAACTAAAACCAAAATGCAAATTTATAAATGCAACAATTTCCAAACTCAACTTAAATGTTTCAGTTTTCAATTACAACTTGGTTGCTTGGTTTCTCACTTGAGTTTTTCACACACATAAAACAATTTTGAGTTTTAACTTTTCTTCATCATCCCTTTGTTCTCTTCTTTTTTCGTCGTTTAGAAGTTCTAAAACTTCTAAATTCTTCTAATTTTCTTTCTTGTTGCC